ATTTGAAGATGTGTCGATTTTCCCATGAGTTCAACTTGTTCGATCAGAGAATCAAGGCTCAGGCCACAACCAGCCGAGGATCGAAGCTGGACAGCTTTTTGGTCCCTCGGCAGCTGGTATGATAACTGTCCAACAATGGGGGATGATTAATGGCCCCCATTGGGCCCCAATTTACAACATTGTGAACAACCCGTCCTGAAGATATCATTAAAATAGGAAATTTTGCTGAGCAGCTACTGAGTTTGCCCATATGACCTACCGTAAGTAGCTGTGGTGAGGGGTTGGGTGGCAAGCTGCCAACAGTGCGCCCTGTAGTGCGGTCTGAGGTCTATGTACCAGAGGATGTGCTTCAAAAAGCGAGAAAACGCGTAGAGGATGAGAGCCTTGGATCCTGTTGCAGGTCAGGAAAATTATTGGCTTTGTGTAGTCAGAGTTTCTTCAGACAACCATTTGCACCTTCCGAAACTCGTAGGTGGTTGCTTCGATTGGTATTCTGGCAGCCCTTTCCAAACAAAGCGAAGGCAACCAAGTCCCACCTTGAAGAACAACCAATATCCCAGTGCGCGACATATCACCAGCTTAGCGTTGTTGGCCGACCACATTGAGGAACGAGCTCAATCGGCAGGAGTATGTCGGTGAGGACTGCTTTTGCAGAATGGTCAGAATGCCATCAACTTGATGCTTGAAATCCACTTCGGTGCTGCATTGAAGTACCGCAAGCAATGGTGTCGATGAACCATTTCACTGTGCCATCGATGATGTGGCGGTAAACCATGGTAAACCCACTAAGAATCCACCCCCAATTCGGATTTAATATTGGGTATACCGTATACCATGTATACCATGTATACCCCTACTTGGGATGATGTATCTCCAAGAGTTGTTTACACATGGTATGGCCACCAGGATGGAGGCATCCTCAATCCTGTGACGCTGCCGTTCCTCGGTATAGCAGCTGTGCCTTCTTTGCGGTGAGTCTTATGTACCAGCCAGGGCTTACTTAACAGCATTGCACTATATTGCGCTTCTTCTGTCTCAGTTGTCCACCAACTGCTACTGTACCTTTCATATTCGCTCTTTCTCAAGTGTCCCTGATACTTGTATCCACTTCCTGTATCATTCCACTGTTTTTCTGGGGGGTCAGACTTTCACACTTTTATGTTAAGTCTAATTGTTGTTTGCTATTGCATTGTCTGAGGTGGAAGGAGCCAAAGAAGAAGGTACCAAGATGATTTTTATGCAGGGCTGACTGGACCAAGGGGACTAGTTTGTTGATTTCTGTTCATTCCGAACTTTTCCCCTGAATGAGAGGCAGGCAAAGCTGCTTTTAAAAATGTGACCTTGTCAAGAAAAGGACATAATTCGTTTCTTTGATGCAAGCCCCTTGGTCCTAGAGCATCATTGATTTTGAGGTGACAGAAGAAGAACTTCACTCGGGTGGGGCAAAAAAAGTCATTTTGACAACATCGCAAGATGGCCTTTACAAATAAGATAAACATGCAAATGCTCCATCAATGTTTGATTCATATTGCCAGTCGTTGAATGTCATGGATGTAGGCCCTATGAAGAAGTCTTCACCTGTTCTGCGGTCAATCAGTTTCAGCTATAATCGGATTCGAAGCATCCAGCCAAGCAAACCGAAGCAAGCTGCAGCCGCGGATAGATGCCGGAGAAACGACTATGGCAATTTTCGCTGGAAAAAGAGTGGCACAGACGGGTGATGCGAAGGTTTCAGATTTTAAAGACTTTAAAGAGCAGAGTGGGAAAAAAACCTGCCTTTCAGCTCCGAACAAAACTTGGGTCCAGAGTGCATTCTTCAGATATCGGTGAAGCAGTGAAGCAGCAAGGCCCAGATATCGCCTTGGAGCTGGCCTGGAAGAGCCGCAACATGGATTTTGCCATGCCTTACCTCATCCAGGCAGGAATCATCGAGGGCCAATTAGCTAATAATTTGCATCTTTTCTCTGTCTATTGGGATTTCACGAAAGCTATCTTCTGCTAGCTGAAGTCCCTCTTGCTTTAGCAAGGTATTGGGGGGGGCTGGAATCTCCAGTCGCATGAAACTTCATAGTTATATCGCCCCTTCGCCGCGGCTCAATCCCCCCCTGGGGACACCGTCGGCATGTTGCCACTGGCAGTACATTCGGCAGCATCCGCATCCTCAGCATCATTGTGTTTTCATGCAAAGCTCCCTGCCAAGCTAGCTTTCCTCCCTTACCCCTGGGCCTCAAGTTTCGCTACAAGACTTTTTTGCTCGGATTCTGATTGGCAGTGAGTAGCCTGCTTCTTCTTTCGATCCATTTCGATGCTGCAGTTTCTGCATGTCGCTGGGATCAGGTTATGCGAGAGTACACTGACCGAGTAAACGCACTGGACAAGAAGACGTAACTTGGCTGGAAAGTTCTGGAAGCTGGAAAACTGTCAAAACATGTCAAAACTGTCATCTTTGCAAAGCAGAGTTGGGAACACTGCCGTGCCGAGTCGCGATAGTCACTTTAGATTCTTGGCAGGGCAATAGAGTTGGATAACCCTCTACAGTGTGTTCCAAGGCAGAAAAAGGAAGAAGAGGAGGAGAAGCAAAAGAGCGTTTGGGACTTACGGATCGATCAACACAAGGACCTTGATTGGCCATCTTGGCCATTCGTTTTGGAAACAGGGCTGTCAGCCGTTGCACAAGCATATCCCGGATTTGAAGCAGCGGCTATAAGGCTCCAAACGACTATGTGCCAGACTACATGATGCCCACCATGGGACCAGGGCTCACTGGCTTCGGCAATTTGGCACTGACCAGTGGTCCCATGGCTCAACCAGGGGGCCGAAGATCGAAGCAGTAAATTCAGTGAAAGCAGTGTTTCCAAGACAACCTTTGCTCGATTCAGTTCTAAACTTCCGACGAAGTGCAGTTGAGACTCAGACTTAGTAGATTCTTAATTAGATTCACTTACGCCCACTTTTCTGATTGAGAAATTTGCTGAGGTCCTGCAAACATGCCAATGATGTCAGAGCCCTAGGGGCTAGATGATGCAGTGGGTGTTGAGCTGTATATAGTAATTATACATGATCGGACATCGCAGCATCATGTAGCCGTTGCTGGCCTGTATTAAATAGGTGGGATTCATCCTTAGCTGTGGTCACTCCTGAGAATCTTATGTCAAGATATCTTTGCCTTCCTTTAACATTTCGATTGGTTTGTTTTCGCTTTGAAACTTTCAAGCCTTGTATGGAAAACAGGGCTCTCTTACCTAGTGGAGGATAGGCTGGATGATGTGCCAAAGGTGAGCTGGGGTGGGTGGAGCCTATGGTGGTTGAGCAAAGTGATATCCTGACTGAGGGGAAATGCCATGAACATGGGCATGCAGCAGCAGCCGGGCATGCAGCCGCGCCCTTTGCGTATTGAACTTGTGAGAGGTTCAGGCTAAAGGTCTCTCACAGGCTCCGTCAGGTTGAAGGAACATTCCGGTGTACCCGCGGACAGATTTGACTTTAGCCATTGTATGAAACTTGCCAGCAACACCTGTGGTTGCAGTCTTTCAATCTTTGCAGCACATCTGGACACCGAATGTATGTTGAATGACATGCATTTTCTGCATTCTCCCGACACTCTTCGCGCTGTTCTTCTTTGTTTGGACTGTTGCTGAACAGAAATCCTAACTGAAGAGGTGCAAAGCAAATGCCACCCTCAAGCGGTAGAACACACCAGCGGTTGTAGAACAGAGGCTTGATCCAACGCTGAGGCCTAGTATGATGATGACTCCAAACATGGGCGGCTTTTGAGTTGCGCAAGGGCCTCGGACAGTTGACACGGAATCTGCTTGCAAAATGCACTTGTCCTCCAACTCCTCCAAAGCAAGGTGAAAACATCCACCAAATAGCCAAATAGACAGCGGCATGTTTCGTGATTTGAAAAGTTGCGATGCAACAACTGGTGTGGCTGGATCGCAAGATCCATCATTTGATGGTGTCGAATGAAACAACAGTCCCATTCTTTTGAATTGATTGCCCCCCCCACATGCATGTATCAGAAGACTTGGGCCACTCCAGTAGTAATCTTCTTTGTAACGAAGGTTTTATCGCCATTTTTGATATACATATAATTAATATAATATATATATAATTATATATGTATACAAATATGTATATTTATATTTAAACCTGTTTATGGGTTATCCCCACTTCAGGTATGTGAAGAGTCTACCGGTCTTGTTTCACCTTGATTGACACATCGCTTCAGAATCGCTTCAGAACCACGGATCTTAGGCGGGCAACCACCTGACATTGCTACACTTGACCCCAAATCGGCGGTCAGCTTTGGAGCAGAGTCTCCGCCATAGAGAAGGAGGAAGAAAACCAGGAAACTGGACATCTTTGTTTTGAGCTTCCTTTGGCCCAAAGGCAACAACCATCAAACAACTGTTCTAGAAGGAAAACTAGATAAAACTAGTATTCCTTTGAATAATTCTCCTAGGGGAGAACTTCCTGGGCTTCTTTTGCTAGTGAGGTGTCACGAGGCTACGCCAGATTTCGTGCCTCCGACGAGACAAATGCATCGAAAGCGCATGATCTTGGCGCTTTGTGCTGAACAATCTAGCCTACATTGTCACCCTTTTTTCTATACTTTTCATGCATAATATATATATATATAATATAATAGTAATATTATATTTGTATGTGTATATATATATATATATATACATGTTGCCACAAAACAGATAAATACAGACACACACACACAGACATACCACGTCGCAGATGTTTTTTCGCATTGTGGCCTTGTCGCAGCTGCAGTTGCACGGCTGACTTCCCTCGATGCAGTTTCGGTTGTGGAAGTTGTCGAAGCACAGACTGTTGCCATCGATTTGGTTGCAGAGTTATACTCTCAGGCAGCAGACAATGGGTTCAATCGATCCCATCCATACCTGCCAGCCATGAAGGCCCGGCTCCTGCGGAAAAGATGTGGCTGGTAGGGCAGATCTGGGGAGGAAAGTACCTTGCTGTTGGAGATGTGGAATGATGTGGAACAAGAGAAGAAAGTGGTGCAGACCGTGGGAGAAGAGGGTTGGAAGACGCATATTTTATGTGACATTCACCAGCAAAACAAAGCCACCTTTCAATTCTGCAACTTCTGGTGGCTTGAAAAAAGGCACACCCGTGCAGAGTTCAAATTTTGCAGGAATTCTCTTGGTTACTTGCATTTTTGGTTCGAATGCTGATGCAAGGGACAGGGTTTGTAGGTAGGTTGTGTTCAAAGCACGACTTGTCCCGGCCTTAGAGCTCTGAAACACTCTGAGTGCGAATTCAATACTGCCAGGCATGGGCAGTATGAACATGTGTTGCGTGTGACGACAGCGATGATGCTTCCCTGTTACATGTAATGTATGTGTACACAACATGCCAAAGTACTGCACCATGCCTCACGCCCTGAGGGCGTGCTATGCGGCTGAAGTTGACACATGAGGAGATCAGCTTCCGGAAATGGGATGAAGAATCTGTGCGCATGTCGTATGCAGCGAGGGTAGTCTCTGATGGTAACATCCACAAATTTACCTTGGGTCAAAGGTGGATCAAGGAGAGGAAAGTGTACAGACCTGTGTCCAGGTCTTGAGTCTTGAGTCTGGTTTGTTCATGGAAGATCTTACCTGTGATATCCCAATGGAGTAGACACCTGCAGCTGGAACAAAAGACATGAGGGTAGGAACCAGCTAGGATGCGCCGAAGCACAAGTCGCTCGTGACATCTGTTGGCTGGCTGGCAACTCAGTGCAGGTCTCCATTGGTAACCTGGTAGGTAGTCCTAAGCAGTCTGCAGTGCGTTGATCGCTTTGCGCCAGCTCCGGTACAGTACAATACCCGCTTTTCCTTCTTAATCACACCAAAGAGCAAAGCCAGCAGAAACCATTGGACTCTCCGCAGCTTTCAGCCTTCATTCTGGCCATCTTCTTGTCATCTTCTCGTCATCTCTGACTCTTCTTGGCTCTGGGGCCGAGGTACAAGACAGGCAAGCAGTATGAGCTTATCTCTGCGGGGGATGATCAGGACCACATGGGTCCGAGGGCACTGCAAAGATTTCAGAGGATGCTTTTGCGATGCATGAAAAAGTGTATCCATGCCACACACCAAGAACTGATCTAGAAAAGTAGTTACCCTTGTAGTTTGAGCCAGCCTTTTCAGTCTCTCAGACCAGAGACTTTCGTTGACCTTTGGAGGCAAGAGTTCGAGAATCCAGACTATTATAATGAGTCCTGAATATTGAACACCGGCGTGCACAAGGAAATATGGAAATGGCATGTTGAAGGTTCGCCGATTGTTCGTATCTCAGTTTCTCTATCTCAGTTCCTCTGAATCTGGTGGGTGATCTCGAGTCGCGATTCAACAGTTGCCCCTGCATGTCCCCAACAACACCTACCTGAGGCGAAGCTTTGCAGCTGTGAGTCCTACTGCACGGTTAGATCTGGCCAGTTTGGGGCAAGCCGAAGAAAAAACGTATGGAAAGTACAGACCGACCAGCATTGGGCTTCAAGTTTTTACAATGCCTCGTGCGCGCGCACACACACATATATATATATATATACACACATACAGTAGTACATCTAGTTATATACGTCCGTTGATGAGTGCGTTCCTGCATATGTTCGTTCCGTGCGTTGCACACAAAAGACCCATTGGCTACTGTTCTACACACATATATATATACATATAATATGTATAATATGTATAATATGTATATATATATATACATAGATAGATAGATGGATGGATGGATGGATGGATAGATAGATGGATGGATAGATAGATAGATAGATAGATAAATTAGATATATACATAGCTAGATAGATCATGATACATCTATATGATAGGACATCTATCGACATCTATATCATCTATGGACATCCTGTGGTGAATATCGTTCTGAAAACTGCCAGGCCATGGCTTGGATGCCGAGTGGCAAAGGCTTGGAGCAGAGCGGGCAGAGTATAGCTTTCGATTTTGCCACCTGAGATAGCTTTCCCAGCCCATCCAATATGAACCGTATGAACCATAGGAACAAAAGATAGCTAATCAGCTAATCACTTTCTGGACTTATGAAAACAGTGGCTCATCCACTTGATGTTTGGCAAACTTCATGGGACACGGTGCACTGCTGTGCAGGTTCAGACAATGCCTTTGCTTTGGGCTGTGCTGATGGTACCTTTCGACTCATTAGTGAAATGGGTCGAGAAGAAAAGAAGGTCGCCTGTGGCAGCAACGTAGCACTGGTGGTAGCGCAGTGCATCAACTGCTAATACAGACATGACTCATGATACTTGCATAGAATTGCACAGAAATGCACAGAGATGCTAGAATGGTCTTCTCAGATGCATCAATCTTGACAGATTTTGAGAAGATGGCCCCGCATTGGAGAAAGCGCAGGTGGATGCACATCGAGGTGCTGTGATTTCCCTTAGATGGAGCTTTGATGGCTGGAACCTCAAGTTAGAATGTCTCGTTCTTGTGTTTTTTTGTATCAATCTTCTGGATTTCATATGATTTCACGATGAGTGGACATTTGTGAAGCTCTGCGCTCCATCCCTTAAGATCCATGTCACCATGTCTTTAGAGGGCATCTTGGCTCTGCTAGGTTCGGCCATCGCAACAGCTGGGGAGGACGGGATTGTGAAGGCGTGACAGACGACTGTGGCAGTTGGAGTTTCAGACGGAGACAGCATCGAATAATCAAACCAGATCCTCCAAGGGTATAACCATATCAATCTTCCAGTGCAAATAGGTTCAATAAGCATCAACATGCCAGCCAGATTCTGACAGCAGATAATAATAATTTATTAAGTCTTTCCCTTGAAGCGAATTTTGCTGGCTTTGGCGCCACTGGACACCCGGATTGATGGCTGCTGCTACCGTCATCGGTAGCTGAGCGCCAGGTATGGTCTCGAAGTGGCATGCTACGATCGGCGCTCGCACAGCAGCAGGGGAGCTCAGTCGACGTCTCGCGTTAAAAAAAGGCACATCCCTTTACGGTGCAGCACATGGTTTCTCGATGCTGCGAAAGGAAACGCAGGATCTATAGAAGGTCTCATGATATGATGTCATCATGTGTCATCATGTTACTCGTATCATTCAACATTTGAGTGTAGGTGTCACCAGTTGGATGGTCGCTACCCCTCAAAACAAGGGTTGATTCGGCCAGATGGGATGCGATTGTGTCGCTTTCCCTTTTGGAGAACCAGACCCCTGCCCAGACTTTGTAAGTCGCCCTGCTTTGTGTGGACACATTACTTTTCTTGTCATACCTCTTGTGTGTAAACTTGGATGATTGTTGGTTTATTGCTATACAGTATACAGTATATAATCTACTAATAGACGTTGAAGTTTTTTGCAACCATTCAACTTGTCAAGTGAGACTTGCCATAAGGTCTCATGCAATCTACTCCGTTGTCTGGTCTCCAGACTGTCTTCGTCTCAATAGAGTTGCCGTTTACATTGTTTACATGCCTCTGAACTTGTTGCTGGGACTTGGAACGTTGGAACCTGTCATTTCGCATCGCTCGCTTCCAATGATGGTTTCAGAACTTTTTCACTTTTTGGTGGACCTTGTGAGTTGGCCCTTGCTATTGGAATGAACTGCACATAACTGCACCCACATCATGTTGACAAGGATTCATAGGCTCAACTTCGACAGGTGAGCACATCCTTTTTGCTTGCAGTTCCAAGATCCACCTGAAGTCCATCCAGGCATTCTGGTAGGGATTGGTAGGGGGAAGGCAGCGTTAGACATCAGAGCTCAACACTTTCTTGTCCTTTAATCATTTTAATCACAAATCCCGTTGCTTCCCAGCACATTCTTGATCGACGACTGCATTCGTCACCCAAAGCAAATCTCAACTAAAAACGGGGGTTTGAAACTGTCAGGCTGGACAAAAGCAAGTGGAGTGGAAGGCTCCCTGACCCCTGCATAGAAGCAGAAGTATGGCAATGCTGGCAGTTTTGGTCTGTGTATGTTAACCTGTGGCTTGAGGAGATTGCTTTGCCGTCAATGAAGTTAAGTGTATTCGTCATTCTCCTTTCAGCGTTCAACGAATCAAGAATTAATATCAATCAAATAATTGTGGTTGTCCAAACATATGGTAATTATTGTATCATTTTTGTAGGGAAAATGAGGTACTAAACTTTTAAACAATGCTCTTCTTGGGAAGCTTGCAACATTTTCAGACAAACCCACTTCTGGTAGATCTGGTAGGCTCACGATGGAGTCGTGATGATGCTTGACTGGTGCGGTGCCGAGAGAGAGTCGAACCGAGAACTCATGCTGCGCCTGGAAACCAAACCAAGCACGAGACTATTTGGTGTGGACCTTAAAATGGGATTGACCCAACATGACTGTTTGAATGGGAAACTGATGATTAGACAATGGATCGACTCCTCATTTTATGGATATTTGAATAGATTTGAATAGGGACATGAAGGAAAAGGATGATTCGCCCATGGATGGAATGAGTTGTTAGCAAAGCCATTGGAAAGCCAAGGTCCTTTGTCAACAACACGATCCTTTCCGCCGGTGAAGATTGCCGGTCCTCGGCTTAGATAGGTTTACCATACCATTCACAGATTTATCCATGAAAAAGGGGAATGATAGCCACTTTTGGGGGGAAAATTGATGAAGATGGGTCATTTTAAGCTTCTCTAGCCAGTTTTCTCTCTAGCTACCCATTTTACCACCCTTGTATTTAGGGTGTTGGGAGCAAGCCTGGTGAATCTGCACATTGCAGGTACAAGATTTGGGATGCCTATGGGCGCCTTCTCTTTAATTCAGCACCTCTTGATCACGTTGTGACCTCCATTGTTGGTGCCTCAGATCTATTGCAATGCAGTTTCGTCTCATGGATTGTGCTACAGCAAACATCGAAGAATCTGTTGCAGCGTTGCCGTTCTATTGGTGCACATTCCCGTCAAGAGAGAGAAATTGATTCCCGGAAACATGGCACTTGCAGTTCTTCAGGCTTGGTCCCCAACAGGTGCGAAACCATGGGCGTGGTTGCTGCTGGTTGCTCTAGAAAGATTAGATGGTTCAACACTTTCTGGAAAACACATGGCTGGAGCTCTTTTGGGGTCTGATGTTGCTGTTGTGCAGCTTAAAGCAGCCACCAAACAACAAAAGCCATTTCTTTTGGTCAATGTCTTAAACTCTCAGATTTGTTTTCACAATTTTCACCTGCACAGGCCGGCATTTTGCCGTTGGAAGCTTCAATGTCAGTTCCACAGATACGTTTGACTGGCAGAGTGCACAAGTCTCAATAGTGAGTCCAGCACCCTAGTCCACTAAAGTCCACACCTCTTGCGGGGTTTTCTCTATCCTCTCCGATTTCAGCATCGTTCGCTCGTTGATCTGGCTTTATAGAGTGCTGGGTTTAGCATCTTTGTTCAGTTTTGCCAGTTGCTTGTAGAAGAGCCTTCCGGTTGAAGCATCCACAGACATCGTCAGTGCACCATTGTCGAATTCGAACTTGCTCCAAGACCTTGAAGCTTTGTGACCGAACCGGTTGGTCCTACTGTGTGTCCCTCAGCGCCTGAGATGCCTTGGTCAAGGGCATCACATTTTCAACTGGCTTGGTGTTGTGTGACTCCGCCCAGGCAGAGAGACGCCAGACGTGGGGTCAATCTTTTCGATCTCGTGGTGCAACGTGTGACGACCCAGCAGCAACGATGAAGAGCAACTGTTCAGCTTCGTTTCTCTCGAAAAAAATCGCAGCGCTTGTCAACATATTCAGATTTCATCATATTCCATCGAAACAACAGATACTCTTTCAGGCCCGAACCCAACCTTTGATATCTCTTCCGTCCTTGTAAGGACGGCACACAACTGGCCTGCGGCACTGGTAGCGGGCATGTGGTCTTCGGAAGCCTAGTGGCCAGAAGCTCATGGGACGCCTCGGCAGTCATGGCTTCTCTTCCAAGTTTCAAACCTATTGCTGGACCGGACACGAGAACCTCTACTATATTGTTTCTGGATTGTAAACTTGACTTGAGATTGACTGCATTAAACCAGGCCATTCAGACAGTCACACACACACACATTCCCAAGCATGTGACCTCGGCTTGAGCCACCAGGATCGCTCTTGCACGTGGCAGAATATGGATGTGACGCTCGACGAGAACAACACCATTACTGTCAGGGCTTCAGCATAGAGCAGTCATCAATGTTGCAAGGAATGGTGTGAGATCAAGCGAGACAACAAATGCAGCAACATAGCAGCAAGGATAACCAGGCGTATGATGAATAGAGATATCTTTAGCATGCCTAAGCTCTTAAATTCAACATTCCTGACTTGCTGTGTCTTTGAACATCTTTCAGTTGGCTTATGTAATGTATTGGACTGTGCCAGCTCTGAGGTGGTTGATATTTTGAATGAAACCAAGGAGGACTGTGATCAATCTGGATGAAACATGATCCCAGCTGCATCGATCTCGGCCTTCAGGAGTTGGACTTCAGAGATCGAGTCACTGACATGTCGGACTCCATATGGGATGCGGCTGCGTGAAGAAAACCCTGTTGGTTGATGGTTGGGGGATTCTACGCACCAATATATTGGGGTATTATATGGTATTATCATATATCGCCATCATTATGTACCTATAATATATATATATATATATAATATAATATACATAGACATAGGGGAACACCATTGGCCACCCAGTATTTCAAGGCTTGATTGCATTTGAAGTAGACGACACAGCTAAAAGATTACCACGCCACATCTATCCGTATCTTACATGATCCGCGGGCCCTTTCCCCAGTCTTCTGGATGTGTTTTTCTTTTTTCAAGGACCACATCAGCTATCAAAAGCATCAGTCGCATCAAACTGCAGGACAAAAAATGGGACTCCAATCAATCTAAGAAACTTCAAACTGGGGATTTGTTGCAACAGTTGCGACAGATTGAACTTCTTCTCTAGCATCCCTTAGGATCCCTTGCAATCTGGGTGTCCTGGCTCGCAGGTCCTTAGCCCATGGAGCACTGGTGGTGAACACAAACAGCCAATGCTTCGTGTATCAATCCACCAATTGGAACACGTCTTGCCCTTGGTCACTTCCCGTTCCTCAGTTTCCTCAGTTTCCTCAGTTTCCTCAGTCCTTGTGCTTGAAGACTTGTGAACGCAGCAGGAGTGATTCGCGAATTTACCCGATGTAAATTCTGCACTGAGGCCCCATGTAGAAGATTTGAAAGAGCCGCCGATGCTGATTGTTCAGCTCCATCCTCAGCATCTTTCGGCCTGGCCCCACACGTCCTGGCCCCACACGCCCCCCCGGCGAGACCGGCTAGACTCGGCTAGACTCAGTGCGAGGTGTCCACATCACTTTGCTTTGGTTGACGCTGTCGGCATTCAGATCATCAACTACGAAGGTCCGATAGAGTTCCGCCATGTTCCACCTAAGCAGTTCAATATGGCTTGATTTCACAGGGTTTTGCTCAACACTTGATTTGTGGGAGGTATGAGTCACCCTGGACTTGCAGATCTCAAGTTTATAATTGAATCGATGTTCTTACATTTTATGTTTATGGCCAAATGGCCACATCCTGTGGCCAAATGCTTAGCAGCGCCATGCTCTGTGACTACCTTTGGACCAGGTCGGCAGCTTTCTACCATCAAAATGAGTGGTTTGCGGTACGAGCACTTGAACCACCAGACTCTGAGTGGTTCCAGCATAGTTGTCCAAAGCGGCCGAGCCTCATGGCATTACATCTTGTTTTCAGGGTATCAGATGTTATTTCTTAGGGATTTTGCGACAAACCAGCAAACCAGCAAGACAACGGCGGAGACTCTCAGAATTGCTTCGACTTCTAGATTCTAGAGGACGCTTTTGCAGCCGGAGTTCCTGTGTTTGATGACAAAGGAAATTCTGCCAGGTATTTGCAGAGATGCTGTTGCGCTGGTAGATCCTTCCCAACCGAAGCAGATTCGTGGGTTGCTGAGTCAGTAATGAGCAGTACTTGCCCTGCCCTGCACGATCTACTCACGGGTGACGCACATCAGGACCACGCCTGATACTTCGAGTTGATACAGTTTACCGACGGTTTACCGATGTCTACCGTCATCCGTTGAGGTGTGTTCGATGTGTTCACTGGTCGCGCGATGGGGCTCATGGCTCAGATCACAGGAGTCACTGGACTTGACACCCCATTGTGTTGACTTTGAAGGAACCCCATTATGCACAAGCTCGACATCATCCGCATTTCACTCAACCAGCATGGTCCTGGTCTCAGGACTTGTTCATTTTTCTTGATTTGTTCTCTTGTGTGGGTGCAGATTGATGGGCTTAGGACGAAAAAACTGAAGAGCACACTTGCATGCAAAAGACAGCTTGATGTCATTGAACTAGGATTTGAGTTTGCATGCCTGGATATAAGATGATATAAGCCAATGTTGTTAGAAGTGACCTGCCAAGTAAGTACACGAAAAGATTTTGATTTCAACATTTTTGCAAAGATTTCGACAGTAGCTTGCCAGGCTCTGGCAGCGACCGGAAAATTGCCATTCTGGACAAGAACAAGGCAGGGCAAGCGGGGCAGGAGGGGCAAGTTGTTGGAGTATCGAAGCTGGGGTACATTGTTTCATATTCAATGTTAATCAAGCACCGGGAAAAGCGTAGGGAATCCCAAGTTTCTGCAATTTTGGACTTGCTTGCTTTCCAAAAGAAGAGGATGATGCGGCCAGGCATCAAGCAGGCTGTGGAATCATTGAAACAAGTGACACAGCTTGGGAGTGCATCAACAATCGGAATATTGTCAACAAATTGTGGAAGGCAGAAATGCGGTATAGTCCACAACAAAAGGCTATCAACATAGCCAGCAACAAATGACAAAATACCAGGATCATGCGAGACGACACCCGGGGTCACATGCTGTTGCTGGTCGCACTAAGCGCACGACTATCTCAAAAGCAGCCCGCTTTTAAGAAAGAGCCGAACCCAAACTTCAGCAGCAAATGTATATACTGTCCATGAGATCTATCAGAAACAAGAGCCAATGTCAGATAGAAGAGCTGGTGGTAATCTCCAATTCAAGCCCCGGCTCATTGCAAGCTTGGTTTCACACTTGGCCACAGCAGGATTTGTACTTGACCCAAGCTTTACAGGCTGCTGGGTACTCAGATCTCATAGGACATGGTGACTGCGCCGCTGACGCCACAAGTTGCAGAAACTAGATAGAGTTGACTTAATTAATATTAATATTAATATTAATATAAATATTAATATAAATATTAATATTAATATATATATATTAGAATTGTATTTTGAATAATTAATCATTAGGTTAATTAACCATTGTTGTTAATCACCGAAGAGCCTGATGGACTTGCTCTCCAAGGACAAGACTGAGAAATTGGGTGCGATGGTGGACACGTTTATGTGGAATGACAGCACAGATATGTCCCGTTCTCAGGAATGCTCAGGCCGTTACTCAAATCAGAGAGATTTATTCAGTGTGAGGGTTCACTTCCACGATCTCTAGACTCAGAGACATTAAATTGGAAGGAGTTGGAAATTTTTGATTCTGATAATGTAGAAACGCATTGAAGTAGAATGGAACTCAATGAAATGAACTGAACTAGACCAGATGGAAGTTGTTCCCTTTGAGTCAACGACCAAGGCTCGTTGCGCTGATGGATGAGAAGCTGGTGAATTTCATTTACCCCACGGTGGTCTTCGTAGATAAGGACTTGGTGACACGTGAAGCTGGTGAGTTCCATGTGTGTTCACCCTGGTGACCCAGACTTGACAGCAGTTTTTTTTTCAATGCAAATCAAGACTTAGAGTTCATCATCTTGTAGCAATGTATTATATTGTCTATATGATTCTCATAACATGTAGTTATGATATGAGGTATCATTGCCATTTCAGGATTTGCTGCCTAAGACGCAGCAGTCCAAGACTTGCGCAGATGCTGGCAAGAACCAACCTCAGCCTTCTGACAATTTCTTTGATGTTTCACGAAGGTTTCATGAAAGCGTCATGAGGTTTCATCAATCAAATTATCAATGGATTGGTTTCTGGGAAAATCTATGATTTCCTGTAGATTTTCCCTTCAACCAATCCAATCAAATTAGAAGTCTTTTGGGACTGTCCAATGAGCATTCTATGAATTCTATGTGCCTTGTGTGGCTCGCACATCCGTGGTTTCTGGTGGCCGAGGTATGCTCAAATCGTGGCCTTCTACGGCTCGAACTGTACCATTAGAAAGGCGGCGATTCACTGCCAATCTGGATGATTTGACCGTTGCATAATCTGCCCCGCAGGCAGATGGATCTGACTTGGCATGGAACTCAAGGGGCGCCAGGGCATACTCTGTTCCCAGATGGATGCATCATGAAATATCATGAATCATATTGAATCATGATGCTGCTGCTGTATTGCTGTATTGCCATGTACAAGTGAATTCCAGCTTGGCGAACACCGACTGCATGGGACATGTCGGCTGAGGCCATGGTCATGACGCCTTATCCGCAATTGCCTCTTGGCATATGGCATATGTATGGCATATATGGGGATGGAAAGGGCTGCTCAAGGTTGTGCCAAGCTTTGAGATGAACATAGATGAACAATGATGAACCACAGTCAACACTCCAACATACTCCCAGCAGTTTTGTGTGATGAATGAACTTGTGTTTCTTTATTTACTAGTTTGATTTTGCTTAAGTGGTTGAGTCTAACCTCAACTTGTTCTGCAGGCTTTATCAGCACTTTGAAAAGGGCCAGTGGGAGCAGGTCGGAAGCTGCACATTGCGACATGTGCAGCCATGAGTCAAGAACTTCTAGAACTCCAAAACTATTTTCCTTTCACCAGCCCTTTCTTTCAAGTCCAAGAAAGAATCTAGCAAGGGTTACAGACAGCGTTGGTTTGCTTCACACAATCTGATTTGAATCCATCGGAAGCTTGAGGCTAGAACCGTGCTCTTATATACATTATTATATTAGTTTTTCATAAGCGTTGAGGAAATTAGATACCACATCCTTCATGTCGCACGCGTGGTTTCAAGCTGTCCTTCGAAGCCTCTTCGTTTTGGAATATCAGACACTAGGACCACCAATCCAAAGATAGATTCATTATGCTTCATCAAAAAAAACACTGTAGACGTCTCGTTTGGGTTGGGCCATCTTCCAGCTTGACCCCTGTGACAACAATCCCCCGACAAAGTGGCAAAGTGGCTGATGAGGCAGTGCGGCTTTGCAGATATGTCAAGACGCCAGAGCTGTGGGCATCTTTAGCGGTGACTCGTCCTTGACGTTACAGCCTGACCTGCTGAATTTGTGCGGACTTATGTAGTAAACCCAATCATGAACCATCCCAGTAATCAACCATTTGGGGGTCATTTTACATCATCCTAAATACCAAAGAAAAAATAGTAATTACACCTCTATTGGGGATTCTTCCTCAATCTGCTGTGATGTATGTTGCGCTACTCTCTCGCTTTCAAGGCCATGGCTATTCACCAAAGGGCCCTTGACACCGTGGAAATCGTAGCTTGATCGCAGCTATCTGCTGCAAAGTCCTGAAACAAGGGTGCAACATGGTGCAAGGCCATTTAGAGAACTTTAGAGACAGGTCAAACCAACATGGAAAACGTATGGAAGACTTGGCAATGGACATCGCTTGGAATTACATTCTATGGTGATTTTATGGTGATTCATGAATCCTCCACTTTTTACCCACAGATCAGGTTTTTTTAATCGTCTATTGATCTAGGTTTCATGACACCACTGGACCTCGAGGCGTTGGCTGCCATTGACGAGATCGACAAAGTTCAGCCTAGACCTTGGTCCTTGGTCCATGGCTGGGGACAGGAAGGGAACTGCCAAATCACAGCCATAGCCATATCACAATGTCGGACTGGGATCAATTTCCAGAAAGTGATGGTGAACACGTTTTTCCAGGGAGCATTTGGGTAGGGCTATTTTTGTACCCTATATCCCATGACAAATTTACCAGGACCATTGGGGACCTTCCGCAAGGTTTGTGGCCCACATCAACAAATTGCCTGGCCCTTTGAATAGCTGCCATGGCTGCTTGAAGTTGGAGTGTTCCAAGGGCGGAATCTTTGAAATCTAGCAGCCATAATTGGGATTCTTCATGGAGTTTTTAAAACCCATCAAGAATGGGATTTAAAATGATTTAACCTCTTTCACGATTTGTACCAAGGCCTGATGATGTGTTGCGCTCTGCTGAGCTGGCGCTGTTCTGCAAACGGCCAGATGAGGCCGGGATTTCAACAATTTCGGGTCCGTCCCAGCCCCGGGATCGCCGTTTTTCGCAACGCCAAGCTGTGAGGCTCTCAACATTTTACTGCAAAATCGTCGGATATTCCGAGCGATCAAGTACGGGCCCTTAGTTAACGTTGCAGATGAGCGAAGCGTTCTGAGCCATTCTGGTGGAAAACATGTAATCCGAGAATCCTCTCACCCAACAATTTTGATTTTGCAGCTTGGATCTGAGGATGAACATCCGTTTACACAGATGGAATGATGCTCTGGAACTGGTGCCAACCTGGGACAGCAGAGGGAATTCATGTTCTGGCAAATTGCAAAGTGTGGAGGCAAATACTTAATATCAATATTTGATAATAATAATAATAATAACAACAACAATGATATATATAATAATGATATTATCCAATCTTTTGATGCCAAGGCTGTGGGCACATTGACATTTGTTTGCTGCTCTCGCAACACCCCCTTGGATCTACCTTCTGCTCCTCTCCGTTTCAGGCAAAGAAACACCAGACCCACGTGGACACAGTTCTCGCCTACAGACAGCAGCACCTGCAGCAAATGAAGCACGTGATGACCTTAAGCGAAAAGCTTCAATAGTGCTTCAACCCTTCAAGAAGATGTCAGGACCAGATTGACAGTCAATTGGCAATTAATCATGGAACAAGTGTATACTTACAGTGTATACATTGTCTTGTGATGTCTCGTGTTTGCCTTAGATTTGCTCGATTTAGATATTGTTTGCCTTGTTTGTAATTGCGGTCCTGTAGTTGATTCTCACTGTCATGGTCGTCGTCATCCTGATCCTCTCTGTCATCATCATGGTCACGGTCGCGGTCACGGTCATCCTCCTTCTCCTCCTCCTCATTCTTGTCCTCATCCTTGTCCTCATCCTTGTCCTCATCCTTGTCCTCCTCGTCCTCCTCCTCATCATCACCATCACCATCGGCAATGCTAGCAGATCCATCCATTGCAGTTGGAATCTATGCAAGCTCAAGGAATACAACCTTGCCTATGTTGAGGAGTAATTAGTGAACTGGTTCAGGGAGGATGAATTCTGCTGAATTTGGAAGGTCAACTTGACTTGAACAAAGTATAGATTATATTGATTATATAGATACTTACAATTATGTGTGAAAGGCTCACTTGAAGGTTCAAGGAAATTCGAGCCGCTGGCAAGGTTCAAGAAACTTCCCCTGAGGCCCTCATGTTGCGCTATTAAGCGCTTAACCTTGCGTTGATTCTTTCCAGTTTGATCAAATCATCTCTCAGACGACGCTACAGAGAATCGCGACAATCTGAGGTCGAAACCAACGACGACTTCAAACATTGGGCTGCTGAGGTTCCAGTGGTTGGGGCCTTGTTGCCGACCTGTCAGCTTTGGCTCAAAAGGGGATGGGGAAATGCAGGGAAAGGCCAAAAGGCTTCCCATCTCATGAATTCAATTTGTAGGGAAACAGGTAGCCCACTGTTTCCATGGGTACCATAAGTATCCATAAGTTTCATACGGAATGTCTTAGGACTGGGAGACAGTGAAGCGAAAGATGGCCCTGGAGAAGGACTGGAATCACTAGAAGCATCGAGCCCTCCCCATGGATTGAGAAGCGGATTTCTTTGGGAGGACCAGGAGATCAGAGCTGCCAACGGCGAAGTTGGTGGTGGTTAGCAGCGGTTAGCAACATGTGCTTCAGGTGCCTGCCTTTTCTTTTTTGCTTCAAAGGCTTGTCTGAACTAGCAGTTTGCAATGCATTGTCATGAAACTTGCACAGGCCACATGCGAAGATGTAATGTTCTTCACTTGTTGTGAGGAAGATAGCCCTGGACCCTGCTGAACACCACAGCTTTGCACCTTTAATTTTAACCAGGCTGGCATTACCGCCTCCTGTCTCATGAGCATCGTCTCACCACAGGCTAGGGGCTTTGAAGATGACGTCATGTGACGTGCAGTTTCATGTTGGAGGATTGGAACCCTGGAGTGAATCACTGTTGTATGTTCGTTGAATATATGTATATAGTACATAATATGTGTATAATATATATATATGTACATATATTTGACTGCTGGATCACCTGTTGATGAAAGCAGTTGGACGACCTGATCTCAAGACAGGAGGGATGATTTGTTCAGAACAACTGGAGGGTCTCTGTGTCCTCAGCCAAGGTTCATGACACTGGTGAATAGCCAGCGGCAGTGAAGAACATACATGCTGCAGTCATGTTCTTTCCGGGCAAGTCAAAGTCCATGCTTGGTTGGTCGGACGCTTCAGTCCTCAATGCATCGTCCAAACCATCACTTGCCCAGTCGAACATCAATTGGCGCATTGCTGGGCGGCCTTGCATGATCTGCGAACATGTAGCAAGATATATACTTAGCAGCTTATTGATCCAGAGGATGTTCGGGATTTGAAGTTTAGAGATGTTTAGAGATCTCTCCAGGTTGATTTCAAGAGAGAAGATTTGATTTGTTTGACGTGGGAATTCATTAAGGCACCTGGCACTGTGTAATGCTTTAGCCGGCTTTGTGCATGGTGAATATGGAGGTTGCAAAGGCTCGAAAAGTTACTCGAAAAGGATGGGCGCAACTTTTCTGACATGCTGAAGAAAGTGGGAGAAACGTGGGTGAACCTACCTAGCCATACGTAGCCTTTGGGTGTTCTAATAGCATCGCCATGTACGAAGACCCCTGGCTAAGACGGCATTTTGACAAGTTTGAACAAGAACAACATCATCTAAAGTGGGTGTGGCTAGCTGTCAAATTGCTACTAGCTGACGAAAGGAAATCAGCTTTTGCACGCCCTGTTTGGTTCAGCTGTGAACTGTGGCTGTTGCCTCCGGACGGCGTTGAGCTCAGACATACCGAGCCTGTGCATCAAGGTCGCAGATACCACGCTTTTACACTTTTACATGGAAAGTGAGATAAAGTGAGATAAAGTGAGATAAAGTGACGCAATGTTCAGTTTTCAGATGTTTTCAGATGTTTTATGTCAAAACAGTCGACAGTTCAAGATGTTGTTTGGCCATGAGGTCCTGGCCATGACGAGGATCCGCACGGGGATCGCGTTGCCTGGCAGCATCTGGTGGCAGCGCTTTCTTTTGTCGCTGGGAGCTGCGATCCAAGGCGGCGGCCGGATGGGCCGGAGGATGCCAATCCCATGAACCGACGCTTGCCCGCCGAGGTGGGGGGACAACTGTAGCTGTTTTTATTGGGATCCATGGTGATCCCATGGTGATCCCCAATGTGTTGGAATGATTTTTATGAAAAATGGAATGGAGTAGCCCATTTTCAGGCCACAGTGCTTATTTGGCAGGTTGTTGCACCATGTTGCACCAATGATCTTGTAGAGTTTTCAGGGACTAGGTTGCTTTTGTGTTTTGGAAAGGGTTCAAGCCTAGCATCATCGAGACACGACAAACCCAGTCCGCTTGTGCCTTGCTTTCTGGTCTTCGCAGGTGGTGAGCCGACGGAAAGGTGAGAATCGGGTTTGCCCCTGCGAGTTTGCCCCGACATTTCTCCATCGGTCTCTGACTGGAAAACACCCTGACAAGGGCATTTGATGGCAGGTTTATATGTTTGCTCGGACAATCATTAAATCGGTGAAAGATGTGGGACTTTCCATTGCCATATTTTGATATATCTTGTTACCATCCAGGTAATCAATGGTAATCAATCATGGCGTGCTGGAACATCCACCATTTAGTTCGTTGATTTTTCCATGACACCTCCAGGCCAGGGCCAGCTGGATTTTCAGAGGCTACAACTTGTCGAGCCAGGCGCATCCTGGCAAGGCGGTGAAGGAGGAAGTAGCGCCAAGCCACCTCTCAACGGATCTGAAGCAGGCGCCCAGCTGTGCGACCTGTGCGAGTCACGAAGACCTGTGGGCAGAACATGTCGGAAAAGCAAACCAAATCTACCAAGAATCTGAACCAATATAGAGGTATATATATATATTATATATATATTATATATATATTATATATATTATATATATATATATATATTATATCTTGGTATATGGAAAGAGTTTTTTCCAGGTTTGTTGAGCTTGCCTAGCTTGCACAGTTCCGTTTAAGGTTTTATAGCCAGATTGGCAGTGCTGTGGAGTCCAATACCAGCCGAGACCAAGTAATTGGCAACGAGGTTCTGGCCATGAAACCTGAAGCACGAAGCAAGTGGTTGGCCAAGGCAGTACAGCAGGCACACCCACAGGCGCTCAGCTCATGCGTTGTTAATATGTTTGCAATGGAGAGAATGGAGAGATGCCTGAGGAAAGTTAGTTGATATGGTTGAATCATGAATGTTGAATGACAAGTTGATTCCTCAGCTGTGATTTTCAGTGTAGTTTGCCAGACCTGAGACGAAAACTCTCAGGATGGACGCTTGTCGCCCAAGTCCATCTACGACATCATTGCGCATGCCAAGTTTGCCAACGACCTCAACGAGAAAATGGGTCAGCGGATGTGACTAGCTCAGAGACTGGCAGTGCATCAGTGTCTCACAACCTTGAGGACAAGTAGAACCTCTACAAATTAGATATCAAATTAGTGAATCCAACAAACATTGCAAAGGACACCTGTCTTCAATCAAGTGGCTCAGGTCACTGACAATTTTTCATCAGACTTCTTTTTTTGCACTTCGAAGCTGCAGGTACCGTGTTCTACATGCGAACCTGTCACTCTTCTCTACCAAGCAGCAAAAGTTTCTAGAGAAGGAGTGCGCGCTGGCGAAGCAGCAGCCTGTTCGCAGCATTGCATATCAGCTGTCAGCGCGGATTTTTGGATAGTCATCATCTACCAAGCAAAACGTCAATCCGCCGTTATGAGTAGTGTTGTAGGCCCTGTAAACCATCCTTTTCTTGAAACCCCTTCAGGAAGGGACTTAGATTACGCAGGCCATGGTGATCCCTCTTTGCTGCACAGCACAATCGACAGCAATGTGGGTTTGGATCAATATCCTACTTCAAAGAAAAATCAATGGTAAATGGATGTGATTTGATGTCACCCCAAACAATTATGATACTATACGTTTTGATCCGTATATATGTATATATATATGCGTACATGTACAGTATGTACACGTACAGATATCAACATGGTCACGGTGTTGCCAATAGAAATCACGTCAGGTTTGCAGTTGCAGCCTTTGCTCCTGTGCCTGGAGCGGAAGAGGCGCCGTCATCCAAATCAGCCCACTTTCGAACATTTTGCCTCCATATCTTACATATCTTATACATGTATGTCATATATATATATACTGTATATAGTTATAATTATGTGTATATATATAGTGATTAAAAGAACACAAACATGGCAGCCTTGCACGTCATCCAAAGGTTGGATTCGGCAAACCCAATATCCGCAAGATGGCATCACATGCCAGCCTTCAGTAGACAAATAAGAAGCATTTGCTGATTCAATCATGCAGCGTATAGTGCAGCTTGGCTTGTAAGCCGATTTGCACAAATTCTACTCACAACTATCGAACAATGATACAAGATATACAAGACACTGAGAGCAAGATAGCTGAGTTGGTCGGACGACATATGCTACTCAGGAAGATACAACAGCTGCAGATGCAATGGAGGACTTGGGAGAGGATCTTGAAGGATGAACCCGGAGCATCAAACATGGCGTCAATGACGTTTACAGTAAGACCTTTGTTCATCTTTGTTCTAGCTGCTAGCTACTGGATTCAGTTGCACACAGACTGAAATACCATGACACTCACTCTAAATTTTACCATGGGAAAAGGGACAACTCCTGCTTTGAGCATTGGAGAAGGTGAAGTTGACAAATCCAATTCACCAACTGTCAACATGTTCAACCAACCGGGTCCCACTTGTTTCATCTTTCGTTCATTTGTTCCGGTATAGGGTGATTGCTTTCAATTTGGCTTTTGCATTGTCTCAATAGAATTCCCACAATTGAAAGTACTTGCCTTAAAGGCCCACCGGGGCAAGAACATTCTGATAACATTGCAGTCCAAGCACTTTCAGCCTTCTGTGAAGCTACATGATCAGGAAGCATCCACTTGCTGTCCACTGCTCCCTGCGAGGATATGATGGCTCGCTGCCGGGCCTTTGTACGGGACTGCTGGCAGCAGTGTGTTCTTGCATCCATTGTGGGCATGGATATGTCTCAGGTTTGGATACCTCCAAACCTCATGGATTACAAGGTCATTTTTGGTGCGTTCGGAATAAGCCTTCGGTATGGAGCGGGGTTGGGAACAGAGGCAGATCTGGGGATAGATCTTGGACCATCTCAGGAGCGCCAGAGCGAACGTGGAGAGAGAAATATCCAAGAAGGTGCCACAACTTCCAACGGACGCTGAGAGGGAAAACATGTGGAACTCTTGCTGTGCAACCACTATTTTTACATATTCTTAGCACCTCCAAACTGTAACCCAAGATGCCCCACTCAGAATCCAAATGGTGACAAAACGTGAAACCTTGTGCCCAGACTTGTGAAATGCTGAGTCTTCCTCCAAGAAATACCGTAAATGAGCCTGCAGAGTCCCTTCACCTCGTGAAGGATGTTAAGGATGCTTCAGGGTCTCACTGCTCCTTGATGAGATTTTATCGAGATTGTAGTGGGAAGTATCCAGTTCTCGACTTTTGTTGACGTTTCCAGTTGTGCTGAGGCGAAGAAGCAGAGGCGGAGGCAGCTGAGGCAGCTGAGATCCCTCCAGTGGGCACGCCGCAAGCGCTGCAAGCGCCAGATGCGAAGCAGGCTTGACCCAGCTCGGACCATGTGCCACGGTTGGGGAAGTTTTTGGTTGTTTGGGAAGTTGTTGGGAAGTTGTTGGGAAGTTGTTGGATCAGTTCATATTGCAAGTCCGCAGTTTGGACTATTGATGAAGCAGTTTGACTGCCACAGCACTAATATACCACTAGTTACAGGTTGTCATGAGACGTTGCCAGTCTCCTTCGATAGGCTACTCAAGATGAGGCCGCTGAGCTGAGAGAGGCGGCAGAGAGGGAAGTCCATCAACTTGGACAAAAGGATCAACTTGGATCAATTTGGATCAACTTGGATCAAATTGGATCATGGTGGGTCTGGGGAGAATCAGTTGGGGTTCAAGTGTGTCAACACAGACAGAGTGTAAGACATGGGTATGCAATGCATCGGTTTCAAGGAGTGTCTCCTGAAGTTCAGAGATGATTCTTACAAAACTTGTAGTCTGTCAGATGAGGCAAATGCAGAGACGCCGTTTGAGCAGCCGTTCCATCCTTAGCCATATGTTTTTCACATTGCAAGAAGGGGGCAAGCACATTCATCCAACGTTTGGCATAGGAGGAATTTGCACTGTAAAATCAGGCCAGGTGCATAGGTGTGCCTGCCCCATGTGCTCAAGGATATCGCAAGCTGAGCCTCAAAAGGAGGTGGAGGTCGATGACGCCTGTTCTGCATATAACGAAGACAGTTGACTCAGTTGATATACATATCTGTAGTATCCTGAAGTTTTTTTTTGTTCTTTGAGTTGTTTTTTGTGTTCTTGTTCTTTTCTTCTTGTTCCCTTTGTTCCTTTTGTTTTTTGTTTCTGATCTTCTTGTTCTTCTTGTTCTTTTTGTTTTTCTTGTTGTGCTTATCTGAATGCTTTTTCTGGTTCTTCTTCTTGTTCTCGTTGTTCTTCCTGTTCATGTTCTTGTTCCTGATCTGTTTTTCTTCTTCTTCTTCTTCTTGCTGCTGCTGCTGCTGCTGCTGGTGTTGTTGTTGTTGTTGTTGTTGTTGTTGAAAAAACACTGTCACTGTAGCTTTGAGTGTGGATGATGTTCCTGACAAGAAGTCCGTTTACCAGCACCAAAAACTCTTGCAAATTCTTGGACTGAGCAGCTCAACACGTTGTGGCATGGCAGAGCCAAATGATCCCCACAGTTCGCGCCGTCGGAAGCTATTCCTGCCACACTAGAGATTTTTTTTGGGGTCTTGAAGAAACATGAGACAGACGGAACAATTTTGATCATTTGAGTTTGTCTGGAAATAGGACACCCCCTACATCCACTTGTCAATCATCAATTTTCCATATTGTTCCTAATATAATGTCCATTTTGGGTGTACGGTGTACGCCAACTTGCAGACACTGTATGCGATGAGCTTTAAAGCCGTTCAGCAGGCAGATGGCCCTCTGACTCGTGCAAGTAAGTTGGGGCTCCCAGCCCAGACTTGCTTGACTTGCTTGGCTTGCCCCTGGCTCTGCGTATCTTTGCATAAGGTAAGTCGCGTTGCACCCTGTAGGAAATACCTGGAAATACCCTATGGCATAGCTGAAACAGTTTCGGCTCTTTTGAAAATGCAGGTTTCAATACAACGGCCCTGTTCGATTTACTATAACCTTGCATTGACGGACAAAGCGGACTTTCAGCTTGAGACCTTGCCTTTTGCACGTTGCACGCACTTAGGAGCCGCAGCAGAAGTGGTGGTCTTACTCTTTTGAGTGAATGTGCAGCATTGGGTGCAGTTCCCACCCCAGTTCTGTGAATCTTCCGAGGTCGTTCCAGTCCTTCAAAGACCAAGGCCCAGGGAGTCTCCATGGACACTCAGATTTTGATGGAATGCTCTACATATGATGTTGTTTTCTCAAATGAGTTGGGGAAAGCTTGAGAGGACAAGGCGAAAGAATCCGGTTAGAGTTGTATTTTAAAGAGAAACATCATGCTTGTAGCAAAATCCCCAGGATGCTACAGCGGGTTCACAAGAAAAGGATGTAAAAGATGCCAAAGACGAGGCGTCGAAACTCAAAAAGGCACCACTCTGTCGTGCTGAAGCTGAGATGTTTCACGTTTTTTTTGCTTCAATTTACGGTATTTGTTCTCTGTGCCAATGTTCCACCAGAATTCCCAGAGGCGTCCAAGCCTGAAAGCAAAGAAAATGGCAAGGGCAAGACCTCTGAGAAGCCAAAGTCCAAGGAGGGAAAAGACACCAAGGACACAAAGGCTTCTGACAAGGCAAAGAAATCAAAAGATGAAGTGTCAAGGGACCAGTCAAGGGACACAAAGACGAAGAATGCCAAGAGTTACAAGGAAAAAGCGAAGGACTGAGGATCATTGCGCCACATGATACTGCATATATATATACACAGTATGTATATATATATTTATATACAGTATGTATAGATATATATGTGTATATATATATATATGTATATATACACATCCACACACACATATACATATGTATACATACACATATACACACATTGTCACATATATATATGCATATATGCATATACACATATATGCATATATATATAATATAATTAAATATAGACATATAAACATATATACATGTTGTTATTTTTTGTTTGCTTGCAGATCATAGGACATCAACTCCAGATCTGTGGCCATTTATCATTTCCAGGAAAGCCGAAGGAGAGAGAACCACAAGCGGCCCTGCTCTTAGCAGGAACGAGATCACATGGAAAAACAGTGCGCCAAAAACCGACGGGATTATCATCATTTGCCTATATTTCATCATCAAGTGGCTATTTGAGGAGGTATATCACATTTTCACACATAACCAGGTCACGTTTGACAAGTGAACCTCAGAGTCTTGCGCAGTGGTTGCAAACATCTTCTGTAAACAACTCGGAACTGTGTGCAAATAGCAACACCAATGCGAAGCGGTTCATCGCAAAGTAGCAGGTTGGATTGGTCAATGGCAATCTTGCCAGCACGCACGCATATTTGAAACAAAATAGGACAACACCAATAGCATTGAAGCAAACCGATTCCTGCTCAATCCATCTACACCTCAGCCGTTTGCAGTTTTGCTGTTTGGAGGGGGAGAGCCCGAGATGAAAGTGAAAGCAGCCGCAGTCGAAGAAGAAGCGACAGGTTCTCAGGTTTGAACAGTTTGCATTGGAGATAAGAATTACATATCATCAAGCCACGCTAGTTTCTGTCGTTTGTACGTAATCATTTGGCCTTTGCTCACTTTGTGTTTCTCACCGGATAGTTGCCACCCTTTTTGTCTTACCTGCTGTGAGCGTCTGGTGTTCTGGTATCCTGCCTCACTTAGGACAAACGCAGAGGCAAAAAGTCTCGAAACTCTTCAGACTCTTCCAGTTTCGTTTCCAGGACTGGCCAATTTCAGGGCGTTGGACACGAAACCCTTTGGGCAGTGACTCCACCAGGAAGAGGGGTCGCTCTTCCAGCTCCAGACCGAGGAGGTGCATTTTCAGCACCTGTCACTAGAGACAGCTGTCAGATGGAACAGACCGGAACAGAGGACTGTTGGACAGGAAAACGATGGAAAACGAAAACTGTTCTTCTAAGGCTTCATCTTAGCCCTTTTTAGGCATTTTGGAAGGATAGGGTCTCCATTTTTAGAACTTCGACATCTTAGACTTGGACCCTTCGACAGGGTCTCCATCTGACTCCGCTCCGGTCAGGCGCTGAGGCGGCTGACCTTTCCAGGTCAAGGAATCTCCGGCCGGCGAGGCCTTGTTTGTATATAAACAGCTCGTAGACTCGGAGGCCATGATCACAGTCCCAGCCACTTCGCATTTGGAAACGCTGAAAAAAAACCTGTTGCCTTCATGTGGTCTTAGGCACAGATTCACACATCAGTCTCAAGGTTTGAAGAGTCTTGAAGTGTCTGAATCTGTGAACGGCTTCTGTATATAGTGGCAGACACCCAGCTGTGTTTGCCGGCAAAGATGAAGCTTTCGTCTCACTAAAGTCCATACACACGCGGGACGCAGTTAATGAAAAGTTATTTGCGATTTCTGACTCCTGTCATCTCCTGTCCTTTTCTACATTTTGACTTGCACAGGTGTTACCTTTCCCAGTTGGGCACACACACACACATGTACTCTCTGCAACTTAAGACTCATGAGGTTGACATTGGTTGATGAAACAAATGGCTTAATTGGCCTCCGAAATGTCCTCTTTTGTTGCCTTATGTCCGGCGATCCGTAGCGGCTTGACCTCACTGAAGGAATTTCTAAAAGCCACTGAGATTTCACAGAAATTCACGAAAAGCGATCAGATTGCTTCCATAGATTGGTGCATATATGTATACAATATATATATATTAATATACATATACATATATATATATTTAACATGATTTAACCACCCTGACAACATTGGCACTTGAGTCTTGAGTTCTTGACGGCAGTAATGATGACAAACTCAATTGCGAGATTTCTGCATGAGACCCTAAGCAGCTGCTCTAGCCATGGGTCGCTATCACCCGAGTAGACGGTGGCAAGCAATCCCAGGCAACTTGGGAAGGTTGCGCTGAAAAACATCACACTTGAGCCTCAGTTCATTGATTGATGATTTCTGGAAGAAAGCACTTGAGGATAATATGTGAAGTTTGTCTGGCAAATGTGCTCCTCGAAGGTTTGATTCTTGGTGCAGCACTGTGCTGCAAGCTAAATTCGCCTTGCTTCTCAGCAGGCGGGGTCGCCACTGAAGTTGCATAAACTGTGATGACTTTCTCCCTTCTGCAAATCTTGAAGTATTTTCAGTTCAATCACTCCGATTTTCAATTCGCAGCCCAATGGTGGAGGGATGACTTCGATCGTGAACTCTTCAACATGAGCTCTCCTTAAGACTGAAAGCACATTGTGCATGATTTCAAACATTGGAGGACCCAAGAACAACGGAACCCCAACATACCACATGCGACCACACTGACCTCGAAGGGTTTTTCTTTGCCATCCAGAGTGCGGTTTCCACGTTCGCGGTGCCATGGCGACAGAGCTATCGCAGCCCGGTGTGCGGCAGCGCATTCGAATCTCAGGTCGAGAGATCACAGAAAGCAGCAGCGAATACAGACTGCTGCAACAGACTCGTGATGAAGCATCTTTAACGAGGCGAATTGCTTTGGGATCTTTGCTGGTGGCTCTTTGCTCCGTCGGGGCAGTGTTTCTTTACCAGGATTCTCCCATTCGTTCGCTTGAAGCCAGTTTCCCTGCGAATATGGAAGAGATTCAGCCCGGATGGGTTTGGACCACGGTGCCAGCCATCGTGCGAAGTGAGAAGTCTCTGCAATCCAAGCAAGTGGGCATAGTGGAAGCTGAAGCCAGGGTTCTTGTGAAGGAAGTCCAAGGCACCAGGGCGCGGATCAGCGAACCCATGGCCGGATGGATCTCTTGTATCTCTGGTGATGTGCAAGTGGTGACCAGCCACGAAGCTGATGCACAACTGAAAGAGATCAAGAGAAAGATCATGGCCCACCAGAAGAGTCAGAGGGATCTCCTCGCAGCTTTGGAAAGGGTCAAAAAGAAACGGCACCCGTGGCATCCCAAGCTCCTGGGTGCAGAAAAGGCTTTGAAGAACGAATCAAAGGAATTCGACAAGATTCCTAGCTCTGACCTGTGAAGCCTGTGAAGCCTTAGTTGCACTTAGCATCGGCTCAAAAAGGACCGAGTGTTTAGATGCCAGCAGCATCCTGGTTCATCTATGCATAGTCTATGCATAGTCTATGCTCATCTAGGCACGTTTGAACGTCTTGAAGAATCTTGCATTTTTAAAATGGTACGCTAGAATCAGAAAGCTCGCGTCAGGCAGTGCTAAGCCCCGGTTCCAACCTCAGTGCCTGGCCAGTGGTTCAGTCGGTGCTGCTCCGTGGCAGCACAGGTCGCACTCTGTACAGCGACGACAGGTGTCTGCGCGATGCCCAGCTGATGTTTTTGGCACAGCAGCGGATTGTCATTCCCTTTCTTGCACCATGCCGACAGTGGACAAAGTTCTAAACATCCTAGCGGAAGAGCTTCGGGTTAAGTTAAAAATAGTTTCGGGCTTGGCATTTCCTGGGAATTGTTGGTGGCTAAGAGTATGCTGGTACGTGCCCTCCATTCTTCTGATTTCAGGTGCTACTTCCGCTTCTTGGAGTGACTTGGCTTTTCTGCGTGAATCTTCATCAATGACACACTAGATGAAGATGAATGAGATCCAATGTGTAGACATGTGTAGTAGCAGAGGATAGCAGAAGAGCAAAACATCAACTTGTTGTGATTGTTCTTGGTTCTAGCCTCATTAGTTCTTGTGATATGTTAAACCCATCCCGAGGATAACATATTTTACCATAAACGGGGCGGTCTTTCAACTATCCCTGAAACGGATGTTTATGGCATTGGGCGCACACCACAAGCCAAGGCCGAGCCAGCAAATGCCCTAAGCCGCTTGGACAGAGTCATTGGGCCATGGTCGCCATGGTTAAGTTGTTGGATTAGATGAAGCCATGAATTGTGGCACGGTCATACCACCAAGAATCGAGACTTGATGGGAGTTCTATGGAATTCACAATGTAAGGATTCTGAACAGTGGTGGGGTGACCAAAACCCAAATTTGTCCAAATCTGACACCTAACTTGACCATCAGATCATGTCAAATGATGTACCATTACTAACCGTTATTAACCATGATTAACATTTAGTAAGCACCATGATCATATCATCTCCGAGGTAAGGATGAGTCGCTGGTCACTTCCCTCTTCGAGCGGGTGACTCCTGGAGTGGTGTCCATTGCCAAGGAGGCTCCCCCAGAGGCCTTGGGGCCCTGGGGGCCATTGAACATACCCTGGTTGATTTGTTACTGTGGGGACTTCTGCCTAATTTACTGATTGTGATCACCACTAGTAGGGAAACCGAGAAAAACCAACTAGATCCAACTAGTATATACTAGTGGGATAGGGATAGATAGGGGTGTTTTTAGTGGTTCATATGCTTTGGTAATAACCCTCCCATGGCCAGTTCCACAGGGAAAATGGTGATGAAGCAGTGAGTTCCGAATGGGGTACCGCAATTTTTCAAAGAAACGCATTTGAGGTTTCTTTCGAAGGACCAGTCCAAAGATTTGAGCCAGGTTGTCTATAGATGTTCAATATATTTCAATATGGTAATGACATGAATGTTTCAAAGTATAGAATCGAGAGCACGGGGAATTGCAAAGTGCTGCAAGAAGGCTGGTTAGGATCGCCGCAAGGGATTTCTCCATCTCGAACCCAAGCAGAGAGATAGAGATAGAGATAGAGATAGAAGAGCTGTTGAATTGAAGCAGTACAGTAGAGCGTGTCTACTATACATATCTATCTATACGTGTGTATATTAGCATAATTTTGCATGAATATCATTGTTTGATGCTGCAACTGTAGAGTGAACAGCCCAATCATTCCTAGTCTTGGTTGCTTGTCAGTGGTCATACATTCAGACAGTTGCGCCATGGTGAAGCACTGCCTCATTATTTGAGATCATGTATCAGTTCTTCATAGTCCTCCATACCTCCCCTGTCTGTCTGCCTCAGGATTCTCTTGGAACAAAACCATCTGCTGGACTGGCAGGGAGTGGATTTGTTTGGGACAATCGGCATGTAGTGACCTCAGAACTCGAAGCAGCCATCTGCACGGAAAGATTGATTTCAGTCCTCGCTGATTGTAGATGTTTTTCAGTTTTGGCATGCTTTTGCCAGGATCCGCAGTCTGAAGAAGAAACAACGTCACTCTATTCCTTCTGCCCAGGTATCGTAGGGTCCAATAAACCAGTCAAGCCGGACACCACCTTGATTGCTGTTTTGTATTCTCCTTTCACATTTTGAATCTCGATCTTCTTTCATATCTTTCATCCTCTAGGAATCCTCGCTTCGCACTTTGAATTTCCAGTGAGGTGGTGACGAACTATCATGTCATCAACGAGCTCCAGACGCAGGGAAGCCTGGGAGAAACATGGGAGTCTCCTGAGATCTGGGGCCATCTGGGGCCATGCTGAGGCCCTTTGTGACCTTCCTACTGAATGACAATGGAGGCCCAGCTTTCCAGAAGTTTCCAGTAAAATCTGGGCAGTCTGGGCCAGGCATCCTTTCGATTCAATGACATGTTGGATTGCCATGGATTGCCCAGGTAGATTACCGATCATCATGAGGTGACATTTGGATCTGCCAGAATCTTTTCCTTTCTTTGTCTGGGAGCTTCAGCAAGCATAGCTTCAGATTCTTGGCTTGCTCAAGTTCTTGGCTAAAACAGTCTGATGACTGATGAATTTGCCGAACCATGGGCTGTGGTACCTCCCTGACCAAGGGTGAAGTCGATTCACGAGAGGGTGAATCTTCGACTGAGACCAACGCATTTCACTTTATTCTGAAGAGCCCCCATGGCAGTTTCAGCTTAAATCTTGAGGAGCGTCTGGGAATATTGCGCCAACTTACAGCATTCAGCTGGTTTCTTTAAACAAAGAAACCAGCTGAATGTTGCAACTTTGAGGATTCTGTATGTTTCTTACCTGAAACATACATCAGGACAGGGAAAAGGACGCACTTATCCTTGATTCGACAGCAAACGCCAAAGGTTTGGAGTAGCCGTATTTGATTTGCATTGGGTTTGATGCACCAATTCCTGCTGAGAGCCCATTGACAACATGGCATTATATGAGCACAGCTGCAAGCCATAGTGGCATGTTGTGGACCAATTGATCCATGGCTGGAGTGCCTCACCATTCTGAAACTCGAGAAGGTGACCTTTCAACAGGATGCAGCTCTCATCGTGGAAGCAGTGGAAGCAGCTCAATCGTTGACGTCCAAAAGCAACCACCAAGGAAGCTGCGAAATACGACAACATCGGGTTGGGAGCCGAGCGGCGCTCCGCTGCATTTTGCACCACCTTGGGCGGTGAAAGAAATGGTGGCTACATGGAAATCGTGAGCGTTCTGACGGGCAAACCATCACACATCCTTACAAACCAAGACATCTGGCGTCATTATTTTAAAATCATGACAGCGGGCACGTTTGCCCGGAGGTAGATACTGGCTTGACTTTGTGCTTGATTGAAATATCGTGCCGTTTTTCTTTGTTTGTAAGGCACCGATTTATTTATCTCGAAAATAAAGAAGATCTTGAAAGTAACTATATAATTTTAAATATGTGTATATTATATATATATCTGAAAAATTGTCAGCCTGGCTCCATGCAGCACTTTTTGAACTTATGCACGGCCTAGCAAATTCATCATGGTCAGGCAAAGGTATGAGCGACCTGGTACCTCTGGTGCACAGCCATACTTGGCAAAAGCTTGAGTTGATGCCAGATTGAGCTGACTGTGCAGGCATCAAACGCATGAGCTATTTGGCCCAAGTGGTGGGCTACAACCTTAGCGATCTGCGGCTACCTGGGATGGGTGACTTAGAGTTTTATCTCTGCTTCTGTTTGAAACTTGATTCGGTTGATGCTCATGGTCAGTCCAAGTGAGTGAGCCTATTCCAATTCCTTTCTCACGCCTCTGACATGAGTCATGAGTCACGTCGATCTGGATATACAATTTGCCATCGTTTTTCGATGCTCAAGGCTATGACACCACCAGCGATGTAGCAGTGTTGGAAGTGCAAAGTCAGGAGAACCGCTTGGTCGATTAGAGATGGTGTAGTGGAGATCTTACACAATCTGGAAGCAAAACTTTGTATTCTTTTCCAACTCTGAGCTTCCGCTGAGACATTGTAATATGGCCTGAATAGGTTGTGAATATTGCTTTGCTGCACTTTACTTGCAAACTATGACATATTGTTGAGTGCAATGTTTGGCCTTGAGATTCTCCATCATGCATTTGTTTCGTGTCATGTTGCGTTATACAATTCCCTCGGTGACTGGCATGCTCCAAGTATCCCACGAAAACAAACATCAGAATCTTTTCCTTCGTAATCACATGTACTTGAAACATGTCCGGATTTCGATCAAGCTTCTAATTGGAGACTTAGCTTTGCTGCGAGGACAAATCAAGCCTTCCAAAGGGTGCCTTGGGAGGGTTTTTAAAAACCAGGTCTTGATGGATCCATCTACTGAGTTGCGTAGCAGGACATTGTGAATGGCATTGCCAGCTTCCAAGCTTGACTTCCTTACCTTGAAATCTGGAGTATTCATAGCCACATTTGCGAAGCTGCGCTTTGTAGCTGCAGCTGTTTCTGCCGTAGCTTTCAGAATTGGGGAGGTTTGATGCAGCCACTTCTGCGTGGACACTCTGACAAACTTCTGGTAGGCCTGCTGCATGGCTCATGACGTGTTGGATTGGAACGTTGGTTCATGGTGGCAGCCACTTGCCATCCCTTGTCGCTGTTGGAGCCATGCATCCCATACATCCCATCACAGAGTGCCTGGGCTATGGCTGGGGTTCATTCAGTGGAGGTCAGAACGTTTTCGCCTTTGGCAATCCTTTCGGCCTAGAACACAGCCTTAGCCGTGGAATCATCAGTGGAGTCCTTTGCTCAGTGTGCGGTAGAGAAGGATGAAGTGTTTCCCCAGTTGCAAACGATGCAAGCCATGGTCGCAGGACAGGCAGGAACAATATGGAACAATAAGAGAATGATCCACCTGGAAGCATTGGAATACCATTGGATGCAGTCGGCCCAGTCGGCCCTTCAGGTCTCAAGAAAGATGGAAGGCACCGGAGGCAGGCCCATCAGCCGCTTGGCAGCAACGAATAGCGGGCAACGTTGCAACGTTGCGGGTAATCGATGAAGCCCAAAGCAGCTCTGCGCAAAGGTGGTGTCATTCAAACCGATGCCAGTATCAATCCTGGGAACAGCGGTGGACCACTTCTGAACAGCGACGGAGAGGCTTCGGACAGATAAGCTGTTGGGCAAATTCTTCATTTGGCAGTTAATCCATGTGGCTTTCCTTGAAGTAATAATGCTCGGCAAGAGACACTACTCACTCTATCTCACTGAAACGATCATTCAAACTGAGTCTTTCCCTTTTACCTCCCACGGACTAGGTGATTGGTGTGAATACTGCAATCCTATCTGGAAGCGGAATGTTTGCTGGAGTAGGCCGGATGCTTACTTTTATCTACAGTTCTACACGTTGAGCAGTTTGAACGGCAATGGGATTGCTGAAACTCACTAGGAGCTGCCAAAGCTCATTCTTCAAGGATGTTGTCTTGGATGTTTCTGGCACTGCCATTCCTTTTGATTCTGCATGAATGCTCAGGACTGGCTGTCCCCATTGACACAGTCTCGAAGAATGTTGAAAGCATCATATCGAAAGGCCAAGAAGTGGCAAAAGCTTGACCAGCCGCACAGTAGAACAAATGCAGGAACAACACATGAGAGCATGTCCGCATGAGGCCAACGGATGCAACATTTTTTTCATATAATAATATATATATATATACAATTATTTAAGGGCTGCCGCCCCTGCCGCCGACCCCGGAAGAATCGGCAAGGAAGCAAACTAAATTCTGAGGCTTTCGACCTTTTTCCTATGTATATTGTTGTGAACTATATTTGATAGGTTTGAATTTTCATTTGTAAATGGGTTTTTCATTTGGGTGCATGTTGATATTACGATCCTATGGTTTTATGGGTTCACGGATCTAAGTAACTGTACAATAGTTAGATAATATATATATATCTATACGATAGTTTTGGCCCTATTATTATGCAGCTAGTGTTGCGCCGCACAGGTGCATGGTTGCGCCGCACAGGTGCATGATAGTTTATCAAAGTATACGGGGACCTTGTTTTTTTGGATCCTCCACCTTGTTTTCCGTGTTTTTTTGACCCTTCATGAATGAAATCCTACATGAAACTCTAAAGAAACTACCCACATTAATGTTTGAAAACCTTGACAAGATCTTCGGTTGAAACAATTAGTTTGGCAGTGAAGGACGGAGAAGGCGCAAAAAAGGCGGCGAAAAAGTGCCTAACGTAACTTCTGAAACCCATAGAAAATGAGGAGATTTCGGAGCTACTTGTCCCGCTCCAAAACGCGGTTCTTGGGCGAGGAAAGACCGCGCAAAACCACAGCCCCCGGACGGGGAAACACCATGGCAGTGAAGGACGGAGAAGGCGCAAAAAAGGCGGCGAAAAAGTGCCTAACGTAACTTCTGAAACCCATAGAAAATGAGGAGATTTCTGAGCTACTTGTCCCGCTCCAAAACGCGGTTCTTGGGCGAGGAAAGACCGCGCAAAACCACAGCCCCCGGACGGGGAAACACCATGGCAGTGAAGGACGGAGAAGGCCAAAGGACATGCTGCTAGGCCGCCAAGACGCCATGAAGGGTTTAAAGGCAGCTCAGGGCGGTGGGGAGGGTTTAAGGGCAGCCTACTGCCTAACGTTGCTTTCTGAAACCAGAAGAAAATCTCCAGGAAAGCGCCCGGCAGGTGGCCAAAGGACATGCTGCTAGGCCGCCAAGGCGCCATGAAGGGTTTAAAGGCAGCTCAGGGCGCCGGGGAGGGTTTAAGGGCAGCCTACTGCCTAACGTTGCTTTCTGAAACCAGAAGAAAATCTCCAGGAAAGCGCCCGGCAGGTGGCCAAAGGACATGCTGCTAGGCCGCCAAGGGCGCGAAGGGTTTAAAGGCAGCTCAGGGCGCCGGGGAGGGTTTAAGGGCAGCCTACTGCCTAACGTTGCTTTCTGAAACGAGAAGAAAATCTCCAGGAAAGCGCCCGGCAGGTGGCAAAGGACATGCTGCTAGGCCGCAAGGGCGCCATGAAGGGTTTAAAGGCAGCTCAGGGCGCCGGGGAGGGTTTAAGGGCAGCCTACTGCCTAACGTTGCTTTCTGAAACCAGAAGAAAATCTCAGGAAAGCGCCCGGCAGTGGCCAAAGGACATGCTGCTAGGCCGCCAAGGGCGCCATGAAGGGTTTAAAGGCAGCTCAGGGCGCCGGGGGGTTTTAAGGGCAGCCTACTGCCTAACGTTGCTTTCTGAAACCAGAAGAAAATCTCCAGGAAAGCGCCCGGCAGGTGGCCAAAGGACATGCTGCTAGGCCGCCAAGGGCGCCATGAAGGGTTTAAGGGCAGCCCAGGGCGCCGGGGGGGGTGTAAGGGCAGCCTACTGCCTAACGTTGCTTTCTGAAACCAGAAGAAAATCTCCAGGAAAGCGCCCGGCAGGTGGCCAAAGGACATGCTGCTAGGCCGCCAAGGGCGCCATGAAGGGTTTAAGGGCAGCTCAGGGCGCCGGGGAGGGTTTAAGGCCAGCCTACTGCCTAACGTTGCTTTCTGAAACCAGAAGAAAATCTCCAGGAAAGCGCCCGGCAGGTGGCCAAAGGACATGCTGCTGGGCCGCCAAGGGCGCCGGGAAAAAGGTGTAAGGGCAGCCTAGGGCGCCGGGACACGTTTAAGACGTTTAAGACGTTTAAGGGCAGCCTAGTGCCTAACGTTGCTGTCTGAAACCAGAAGAAAATCTCCAGGAAAGCGTCCGGCAGGTGGCCAAAGGACAGGCTGCTGGGCCGCCAAGGGCGCCGGGAAAAAGGTTTAAGGGCAGCCTAGGGCGCCGGGACACGTTTAAGACGTTTAAGACGTTTAAGGGCAGCCTAGTGCCTAACGTTGCTTTTTGAAACCAGAAGAAAATCTCCAGGAAAGCGCCCGGCAGGTGGCCAAAGGACAGGCTGCTGGGCCGCCAAGGGCGCCGGGAAAAAGGTTTAACAGCAGTCTAGGGCGCCAGGCACGTTTAAGACGTTTAAGGGCAGCCTAGTGCCTAACGTTGCTTTCTGAAGCCAGAAGAAAATCTCCAGGAAAGCGCCCGGCAGGTGGCCAAAGGACATGCTGCTGGGCCGCCAAGGGCGCCGGGAAGAGTTTAAGGACAGCTTAGGGCGCCGGGAAGGGTTTAAGGCCAGCCTACTGCCTAACGTTGCTTTCTGAAACCAGAAGAAAATCTCCAGGAAAGCGCCCGGCAGGTGGCCAAAGGACATGCTGCTAGGCCGCGAAGGGCGCCATGAAGGGTTTAAAGGCAGCTCTGGGCGCCGGGGAGGGTTTAAGGGCAGCCTACTGCCTAACGTTGCTTTCTGAAACGAGAAGAAAATCTCCAGGAAAGCGCCCGGCAGGTGGCGAAAGGACATGCTGCTTGGCTGCCAAGGGCGCCATGAAGGGTTTAAAGGCAGCTCCGGGCGCCGGGGAGGGTTTAAGGGCAGCCTACTGCCTAACGTTGCTTTCTGAAACGAGAAGAAAATCTCCAGGAAAGCGCCCGGCAGGTGGCCAAAGGACATGCTGCTAGCCAAGGGCGCCATGAAGGGTTTAAAGGCAGCTCAGGGCGCCGGGGAGGGTTTAAGGGCAGCCTACTGCCTAACGTTGCTTTCTGAAACCAGACGAAAATTTCCAGGAAAGCGCCCGGCAGGTGGCCAAAGGACATGCTGCTAGGCCGCCAAGGGCGCCATGAAGGGTTTAAAGGCAGCTCAGGGCGCCGGGGAGGGTTTAAGGGCAGCCTACCGCCCAACGTTGCTTTCTGAAACTAGAAGAAAATCTCCAGGAAAGCGCCCGGCAGGTGGGCAAAGGACATGCTGCTTGGCTGCCAAGGGCGCCATGAAGGGTTTAAAGGCAGCTCAGGGCGCCGGGGAGGTTTAAGGGCAGCCTACTGCCTAACGTTGCTTTCTGAAACCAGAAGAAAATCTCCAGGAAAGCGCCCGGCAGGTGGCCAAAGGACATGCTGCTAGGCCGCCAAGCGCCCCATGAAGGGTTTAAAGGCAGCTCAGGGCGCCGGGGAGGGTTTAAGGGCAGCCTACTGCCTAACGTTGCTTTCTGAAACGAGAAGAAATCTCCAGGAAAGCGCCCGGCAGATGGCCAAAGGACATGCTGCTAGGCCGCCAAGGGCGCCATGAAGGGTTTAAAGGCAGCTCAGGGCGCCGGGGAGGGTTTAAGGGCAGCCTACTGCCTAACGTTGCTTTCTGAAACCAGAAGCAAATCTCCAGGAAAGCGCCCGGCAGGTGGCGAAAGGACATGCTGCTTGGCTGCCAAGGGCGCCATGAAGGGTTTAAAGGCAGCTCAGGGCGCCGGGGAGGGTTTAAGGGCAGCCTACTGCCTAACGTTGCTTTCTGAAACGAGAAGAAAATCGCCAGGAAAGCGCCCGGCAGGTGGCCAAAGGACATGCTGCTAGGCCGCCAAGGGCGCCATGAAGGGTTTAAAGGCAGCTCAGGGCGCCGGGGAGGGTTTAAGGGCAGCCTACCGCCCAACGTTGCTTTCTGAAACTAGAAGAAAATCTCCAGGAAAGCGCCCGGCAGGTGGCCAAAGGACATGCTGCTTGGCTGCCAAGGGTGCCATGAAGGGTTTAAAGGCAGCTCAGGGCGCCGGGCAGGGTTTAAGGGCAGCCTACTGCCTAACGTTGCTTTCTGAAACGAGAAGAAATCTCCAGGAAAGCGCCCGGCAGGTGGCCAAAGGACATGCTGCTAGGCCGCGAAGGGCGCCATGAAGGGTTTAAAGGCAGCTCTGGGCGCCGGGGAGGGTTTAAGGGCAGCCTACTGCCTAACGTTGCTTTCTGAAACCAGAAGATAATCTCCAGGAAAGCGCCCGGCAGGTGGCGAAAGGACATGCTGCTTGGCTGCCAAGGGCGCCATGAAGGGTTTAAAGGCAGCTCAGGGCGCCGGGGAGGGTTTAAGGGCAGCCTACTGCCTAACGTTGCTTTCTGAAATGAGAAGAAAATCTTCAGGAAAGCGCCCGGCAGGTGGCCAAAGGACATGCTGCTGGGCCGCCAAAGACGCCGGGAAGGGTTAAAGGGCAGGGTATAAGGGCAAGGTTTAAGGGCGGCCGAGGGCGCCGGGAAGCGTTTAAGGGCAGCCTACTACCTAACGTCGCTTTCTGAAACCAGAAGAAAAGGTGCCGCGAAGCCACTTTTTCTCGGGCGCGCTCCCCCCGCAGATGGCTGGGGTCGGCGGATATAATTGTATATATATATATACATACGTATAATTATATATATATATATGAGTATATTTAATTGCCTTCGGCAAGCCCGCCGGCCATGGAGAGGTGGCCCCAAGGGAGTTTGATGTGCATTCTAGGTGGAAGCCCGCGAGAGAGCAGAATAAGAAGGAAGACGAAGAGAAAGCCGTAAAACGGAAGCGGCTTGTGTAGCAAGGTTTGCTGCAACATGCTGTACCAACCTACTGACCGTATACCAAATTAGCACCGCCCCAGCAAAGTAGCGCCAGGTACTATGTGTGAGCCTCTGTCTTGACAGCAGACTCAGCAGACCGCTGCATGGAAGGAGACAGGGGAGAGAGATTGCCCCAAGGGAGGTTGACGTGCACGCTACGTGGAAGCCTGAGAGAAGAAGAGACGAAGACAGAGCCGTAGATCAGAAGCAGCTTGAGTAGCAAGCGCGTGCTGGAACCACCAAACGGAACGCATATCAAATGAGTACTAGTCGATCAGTACCGTGTGCGTCCTGTGACGAGTAGCTGTAGACGACGGTAATGCTGTAGGCAATGTCATGAGCTACCGGCACTACCAGTGTAGTACGTGGGGAAGAAGGGAGGAAGGAGTAGAGGAGTAGAGGAGTCGGAGTCGGAGAAGGCGTCGGAGTAGGTGTAGGAGTAGAAGTAGGAGTGGTAGTAGTAGTGGTAGTAGGGGGGTGACCTTGATTCAGACGAAGCAAGAACGCGCAGCAAGAGAACAAAGGAACAAGCACAAGCCAAGAACAGAAACAAGAACAACACCTTTCAATCAGACACGCCGGCAGGCCCGCGGATTTATATATCAAGGATATGTATTGAGAATGGCATAAGACTGGGCAGACATTCCTCGACGACAGCATTTGACAAAAGGCTTTGTGAAGCGGCCGCTTCTGGGGCTGATCTTTGCACCAGACGTGCCTTGGACGAGAGCTGCTGAGAATCCTATGATTCGTACTCCTAGTGTTTTGTTGCTATGCATATGAGTGTATCAAATCTGATACTGTATACATTCAATTCATGTATGAATATGTATGTGTATGTGTACATATAATTACATATACACATACACATACATACACATACATACACATACATGTACATACACATACATACACATACATGTACATACACATAAACATACACATATACAAATACATTTACATATACAATACATGTATGAACATGTATGGTAATATGTATATATATATATACACACATACATGTATGTCATCATATTTCACCGTATATCATTCACGCTCATTCCTGTTCTAGCAATGTCTCAACATTTGAAAAAACGCGGATCACTACGGTCCGAAGCGAGGAGACGGCCAGCCTGCCCGAGGTCATGGATCAAGAACTCCAACTGAATGGCATCATGGTCATGAAGGTGCCAATATTGCCGACATTGAAATGCTGCAAATCATCATTGGACAATTTGCATTCGGCAAGTGTGAATGGCGCAGTTTCAGCAACAAATCATGTTGTAAGCCTAGCTTGGCGCAGCCAGTGAAGCACTGGAAGGCGACAGACCTTCCGTTCAGCGAAACAACTTTGAGGTCGGACAAGTGACTTTGGTCTCCTGAGGTAATTCCTGGTGGCCCTGCAGAATCCGCAGGAGTGCGGCCAATGCGTTGGGGCCTCGTTCGCATCATCTTTGATTTCCAAACCTGTCAGAGCGATAGATTTGAAGACTGAATCGGTTTAGCAAAGTAAGTACTCCTCGATAGGGGATAACTGGGCATAACTTCAATAGACAGCAAAGGAACATCTACATATTCCAACTTCAATTGCTTCCACAGGATCCAATTTTCTGACAGGTGGCGGCCGCTTGGGAGACGTTGTGGTGGCCATGGATGGGAAGCCTTATCCTCAGACAGAACTTGGATACCTATCCCATCCTATCCCTAGCCGCAAATGCAGCAAAGGTCAAAGGTGAATGGATATATTTAGGACATCTTAGGACTTGGGTGGAGCATTTGTCCCTGCGAGCGGATTTTTGAAATGCCAAAGGCAAAGAACCACACGTGGAAGATGTCCAACCTCAAATGCCGATTTTGTCCAGGAAAATCTCGTCAACTGATGACTTGTTCGGCATGCTCGAGACTCGTGTTTGCAGCCCAGCATGTACGTGTAGAGCACTTGCAACTCTGAAGTTTGAATTGCACCAGCATATGCATGTTTTTCTCTTTCTCTCCGAAGCTAGATCTTGCTTGTCTATTTGATTCACAGGAAGGAGGATTTTGGATGTTTATGGATGTTGATGGTTGTTTATGGATGTTTGCAGTAGCTGCACGTGTTTTGCCGCAGCATTTTTGTGTATAATGCCTGCCCTTCTTCCGTCTCATGCCTTTCGTTTCCAGGCTCCGGGTGATTTGGTAAAACTTCGGCTACAGCGGCCTAATGCCGACTTGGACAGCGAAGTGTCTGACACTCAAACCCAGAAAGTCTTGCAATTGTAGGTGTAAACGCTTGGCAGCTGAGTTCCGGAATGCCATTCCCTTTCTTTGTCCGCGGTGGAAATATTCATCAAATATCCTGGAGAACCGAACAGTCAGGTCTCATTACATGTGATTAACAAGCTGCAAGAAGTCATTGTTCTGAGATAACAGCTGTTGTTGTTATAACTTTGCACGGCCCCGCAAGACATCGCAAGACCGTTGAAGCGCTTGTAATCTGGTTGCCGTATGTATTTAATTGTATTTATATAGGTGGTACCGGGTATTTTCGTCCAGGCAAGCTGCCTCCAACGGAAAATTGCCATAGATGTTGATTAGATGCAGCTCCTAGCTGCCATTCTATTGCTGACAATGACTCGAAAATGACAGCTTCAGGTGCTTCCCGAGTTGTTTGGAACAAGTTAGAGCAAGCAAATCGGAAGTTTATATAACTGTTGCCAAACCTGTTGCCACAATCCCTCCTGCGCCTGAGGATGGAAGAAATTGAAGTTCCGATCAAGCTTGGCCAGGCAAGGTTCAATCTTGCAGCACATTGCAGCGCTATATTAAGATCACTGACGGACAAGACATGTCTGGACAATGAGAACCACATGAAGCTATCCCCTTTCCGATCTTTCAGCTTTGTGTGAAAGAATCGCAGCGCCATCCTTTGCCTACTTTGCCTACTTTCTAACGTAAAGTCACTGTACGATTGCGCGTGTGTGGCAAGAACGGAGGTTCAAAAGTAAGAGCAGCTTCACGAATCTTCACAACTCCTCACTCGCTTTCAGAATACCTTCTTGTCCTATCTTGCCCTGTTTCTGTAGAAACTGCCACGTAGATTCCTTACAGCACAGATCTCACAGATCTCACGGGTCTCACGTTTCCTTCCGCTGAAGGCGACGGACAAGTGAAGCTTTGAATGACTTAGATTTGCTGTGAGATATCGGTCACTCGACATCGCTGAGTGGGTCCACAGGGGAGTGTTCTTAAGTTTGCTATCCGGTTAGTTGAAGCACATGCCTCCTAGTTGGATCATGTAATATATGGCGATACCATTCTAAGATGTTTCCAGAACTGTTGAAAAACTTGCACAACTTCCTTGTCCCAAAAGAGTATGGAGCAGATGGATACCTGCGGGGTCGCAAATGTCTGCGCAGTACCATACTGGCACCAGAATGGGTTATCAGATGTCAACAAGAAAATGCAAGCAAGCCATCAACGGATCATTTTTTGCAATGGCGCCAAGACTTGTGTACCATGTATTAATACCAGTAGTACCGCAAAAGGCGGTGGCGGAAGTTTCGAAGATGGAACACCTATAGGAGAGGTGAGTTGTTATGGTGAATGGATGGCAGAGAAAGCCGCTGATGGATCGAGAGGTGGGTGAGGCTCTGCCCCTCTCTCTCTCTCTCTCTCTGCCTCTCTCTCTGCCTCTCTCTGCCTCTCTCTCTGCATCTCTCTCTCTCTGCCTCTCTCTCTCTGCCTCTCTCTCTCTGCCTCTCTCTCTCTGCCTCTCTCTCTCTGCCTCTCTCTCTCTGCCTCTCTCTCTCTGCCTCTCTCTCTGTGCCTCTCTCTCTCTGCCTCTCTCTCTGCCTCTCTCTCTGCCTCTCTCGCTGCCTCTCTCGCCGCCTCTCTCGCTGCCTCTCTCTCTGCCTCTCTCTCTGCCTCTCTCTCTGCCTCTCTCTCTGCCTCTCTCTCTGCCTCTCTCTCTGCCTCTCTCTCTGCCTCTCTCGCTGCCTCTCTCTCTGCCTCTCTCTCTGCCTCTCTCTCTGCCTCTCTCTCTGCCCCTCTCTCTGCCTCTCTCTCTGCCTCTCTCTCTGCCTCTCTCTCTGCCTCTCTCTCTGCCCCTCTCTCTGCCCCTCTCTCTCTCTCTTTCTCTTTCTTCTCTCTTTCTTCCCCTCGTTATCTCCATCTCTCTTTGTCTTTTTCTATCCGTTTGCCTGTCTATTTGTTTATCTATCTCGATTCTCGATCTCTCTGTATCTATCTCTCATTCCCGAATCTGGGGGTCTGGGCGTTGAGGCTGTGTTCGCCAGACGTTGCGCAACCGTCCACAACCGTCCGCAACCGTCCGCAACCGTTCGCAACCGTTCGCAACCGTCCGCGAGAGGTCGCTATGGCCGTGCCTATGGCGAGTTCTGCAAAAGTGGTCACTTTTGGAGGTTTCAAACGTCGCGTCGCCTCGTTTCGCGTGGCAAGCGTGGCACCTTGTGACATTCCAACATGTTTCATAATGTATCGAAAGTCGTTCTGTGTGGCAGGCGCAATACTTTTGCTTCGTTTTCAGAAGATGAGTTGCAGGTTTCGTGGCAGGCGCAGGACTTTGGAGACCTCCATCGTCATTTCGCGTGGCAGGTGCGCCACTTCAGACATGTCGTGTTGCGTGTTTTTGCGAATCGCATTGTAAGGGCCGCGTCAAGTGCTGAAGGCGTGGCATTTTGTGAGATGTGATGAAAATTGACCGAAGCTTTGCACGAAACATCAATTTTGAGGTAGCAAATTCTGAGGTTCATGAAAAAGCTCCTAGGAAAACGTCGATTTTGAAGCTACAAAGTGTGAAAATTTGCGGAACTCTCTCACGAAATGGTCGTTTTGAGGCTCCAACAGGTCTCATGGCGCTTCTCTGGTTTGCTTGTGGCGTCGCCGTGTGTATGGGGGAAGCTGCAAAACCTGTCATTTTCGACGGTTTCAAAACAGACTGTAATGTCGTTTTGTGTGGCAGGCGTGGCACCTGGTGACATTCTCATGTGTCTGAAAAAGTGTCGCAAGTCGTTTCTGTGACAGGTGCAATGCTTTTGCAAGGTTCTCAGAAGATGACTATCATGTTTCGTGGCGTGTGCAGCACTTTGGACGTGTCCATGTTCATTTTGCGTGGCAGGTGCAGCACTTTAGACGTGTTTTTGCGAATTGCATTGTCAGGGCTGCGCCAAGTGGTGACAAACGTGCAAATCGTGTGGCAGGCATCTGACATCGCGAGAGTGTCATTTTGCATGACAGGGGTAGTATTTGGTGATGATCCGTTGCGCCTGGAATGTTATTTTGCGTGCAGGCGCAGTTTTCGAACTTCACACTATTACACTTTACATTCTACACTGTGCACTCACATTTACACTTTACACTAAAAACTTTACACTTTTTCCACTCTACACTCCCCACTCCACTCAACATTTTGCACTTCATAGTCCATACTTTACACTCAGCACTGTGCACTCTACACTGTACCCTCTACACTTTACACTTTACACTCCGCACTTTACACCTTACACTTTACACTCCACACTCCGCACTTTATACTTTACTCTCCACACTCTGCACTGGACACTCCGCACTCTGCACTTTACACTGTACACTCCACACTTTACACTAGGCACTCCACACTTTACAGCCCACGCTTTTACACTCCACACTCCACACTCTACACTCCACAGTTTACACTTTACACTCAACACTCAACACTCCACACTCCACACTCTACACTTCACACTTTACACTCCACAATCTACACTCCACACTCCACACTCTACATTTTACACTTTATACTCCACACTTGACACCTTTACTCTCCACACTCTACACTTTACGCTCTACACTCCGCACTCTACATTCCCGACTACATTTTACACTTTACACTCCGGACCTTACACTTTACACTGCACACTTTACACTTTACACTCCACACTCTACACCCCGCACTCAACACTACACTCCACACTTCAGAGACTCTACGCCTACACTCTACGCTCTACACTTTACACTCCACACTCAACACTTTACACTCTACACTTTACACTCCACACTCGACACTCTAGACTCTAGACTCTTCACTTCACACTTTACACTTTACACGTTACACGTTACACTCCACACTCTACACTCTACACTTTACACTTCACACACTACATTTTACACTTCACACTCCGCACTCCATACTGGACACTTTACACTCCACACTTTACACTTCACACTCCACATTTTACACTTTACACTCAACACTCTACACCCCACACCCACACTACACTTTACACTCTACACTCCGCACTTTACACCCTACACTCCACACTCTATGCTCCACACTTTACACTACACTCCACAGTGTACACTTTACACTTCACACTTTCCACCCTACACTTTACACTTTACACTCCGCACTGCGCACTCCACAATTCCCACTCCACACTCTACACTCCAGAGTTGACACTTTTCACCCCACTCTTCACACTCAATACTTTACCCTTGCACTTTACACTTTACACTCAACACTCTACACACTACGCTTTACACTCAGCACTGTGCACTCTACACTGCACCCTCTATACTTTACACTTTACACTCCACACTTTACACCTTACACTTTACACTCCACACTTCGCACTTTATACTTTACTCTCCACACTCTGCACTGGACACTCCGCACTCTGCACTTTACACTGTACACTCCACACTTTACACTAGACACTCCACACTGTACAGTCCACGCTTTTACGCGCCACACTCCACACTCCACACTTGACACCTTTACTCTCCACACTCTACACTTTACACTCAACACTCAACACTCTCCACACTACACTTCGCACTTTACACTCCGCGCTCTACACTCGACACTCTACTCTCTACACTTTACACTCCACACTTTACACTTTACACTCCACACTTTACACTCCACACTCCCCACTCTACATTTTACACTTTTTACTCCACACTTTACACTTCACACTCCACATTTTACACTTTACACTCTACACTCTGCACTCTACATTCAAGACTCTACATTTTACTCTACACTCCGCACCTCACACTTTACACTGCACACTTTGCACTTTACACTCCACACTCTACACTGCACACTTTACACTTTACACTCTGCTCTATGCACTTTACACTCTACACGTCACACTTTCCACCCCACACTTTACACTTTACACTCCGCACTCCGCAATTCCCACTTCACACTCTACGCGCTACATTCCCCACTTAACACTCGACTTTCTTCACGCTCCACACTTTGCACTACACCCCCTTTCGCATTCCACCGTCTACAGTGCACTGGTACGGTAACAGGGTAAAAACGTACAAGACTGTTCAAATAGTTTGTTTCACAAACGTGTTATTCGTGACTGCATTCGGGTTCGTGGGCTGCATCTTGTTTTTTTCTTCTCTCTCTCTCTCTTTATCTATATTTATCTCTCTTTCTCTGTCTATTGACCTATTTGTCTACATCCATCCATCCATCCATCCATCCATCTATCCCTCTATCTATCTAAAGTCTATCCACCTACCTACCTGTCTACATATCTACAACCTGATTCTTTATTGTTCATCTGTTCGTCTTTCGATCAATCGTCGTGTCTATTCATGTATGGATCTTGGCTATGCGTCTATCCATGTCTATCCTATTGCGTGTTTATCTATGCGTCTTTTTCATCTGTCGCTGTACTTGTAGCTATCTATTTCTCCTCTTTCCACTAGGATGTAAACGGCTGTAGACATGCGTGTGCGCCGCGTTGACAGATGAAAAGACAGACCAGAAGAAAACCATGACAACTTAGGCGGCATGGTCACCTCTACGGGTTCCACTTTGAACATTCCCCTCCAGGAAACGCCGTCGCAACTTTTGCACTGCGGAAGGCTCGTTTTATCCGCATCGTCAGAAAAAGACAAGTACGGAGCTTGGCAAGTCAAGCTTGTCTGTGCCGCCCGAAAAAACAAGCACAAAAGGCGTGAAAGGAAACAAATTGCGTGAGGAAAAAATTGTGTGAGGCTTAGCCAAATGAGGTGGCACGCTGTCAAAAAAAACAGAAATGCAACCCCTATCACGAAATCCGCTCCCTGACGTCCCAACATGTTGATGAGGATGTGTCCTGCACTGCGCCTGTTACGCGAAGTGCATCTTTGCAGCTCCTGTTCAAACGTCCCACGCCTGCTCCGTTTTTGAAATTGCAACAAAAACTTTACGTTTTGTGCGCTTCAAGAAAAGTGCAGAATCCATTGCGCCTGCCACGCAAAAGGACGGTCGAAAGTCCAAAAGTAGGCGGTCGAACGTGGTGCGATTTTGCAATTTTGAATTCGAAATATGCTTCGCGCCACAGCTGCGTTCATTTTTTTGAACAACTCAGCTACCAAAAGGTTCCGGACCTGAACTGTTTAAAATTTTCACTCTGACCTCGATATATGTTTCGCGCCACAGCCGCATACACTTGAGCAACTCAACTTCCAAGAGTGCTCCGAGGCTGCTTTTGGCTTGGGGATGTGCTTTGCGCCAACGCCGCGTGCACTTTCTGCGCAGATCAACTTCCAAATGGGCGCCGGAGCTGAGGTGTTTTTAACATTTGACTTCGAAATATGTTTGGCACCACAGCCGCGTGCAATTTTTTGATCTTTTATCCGACAGATGGCTCCGCACCCGCCGCTTTAGCGAACCCACTTTTCCACCCTCCGAGGCCCAAAACATTGGGAAAACACAGTGTTTGGCGACTTGTCTACCTTTTCGCGCGCTCTAATCTTCTTTCTACTGACTCTCTCTCTTCTCTGACTCTTCCTGCTGCATCTGTCCAGATGTCGGAAGTTTGACATCCAAACTTCCTTTGACTATATGGAGCTGAAACCAAGTGTGTATATAGTCAGACAATCGGAAATCAGAAGGTGCTATATTTGTTTTACATGGAGGCACAATGAGCGGACACGACCGCAAGAAGCAAGGGCAAGCACAAGCAAGACAAGACAAGATGTATGAGAGGAGATGAGATGGGATGGGCTAAACGAAAGAATAGAAAACGTGACGATTGGCGTGGCGGGCAAAAGCTTGTGCACTTAGCACTTCCATTCCAATATCGAGACTGTGATGGGCTCGCTCTGGGATCATTGCGAGACCTAGGACCTGGCCTCCAGAAGCTCAAAGTGCAGCTTTTCTCTTTCTCTTTGTGACGGGTTCAAGTAGAAGAAGGACAGATGCCCGGGTGCTCCGCAGCTCTCTGCTGACGCTAAGTCGTTGGATTGACAGGTGACGCACTTGACTGGGGAACCACTTCGGATCCATTCCTTGAGAATGCTATCATATGCCATCCTTTTTTCACATTTGCTGCAGTGCCTGATCCCACCTTTGACTTCGCTGCAACTCTTGCCAGAGGACTATGCGGGACTATGATCTTCGCAAGAATACCATGGAAAACCATGTGCATCCATGGGCTACTTCTCGCAGCGCCCTTTGCGACAAAAAAAATGCTGCCACCCACTTATTCCTCCAATGACAGGGGGAGTTGAATATTTGCGCGCCATGCAGCCTAAAAGAACATATATAGATCCACGTGAGACAAGATAGAACTATACAAAATTATTTTCAGTCTGTATTGTTGCTTTCAATCCATTCCAGGCTTCCCTGGGCCATGGGTCCTGCTAACAACTGTTACTGTGCAAAGCTTACTGTGCAGGTTCTGTGAATAAAAACTTTCAAAGCACCCGGCAGTGCCGGGTATCAGACAACAGGCCTACAGGAAGGTTTGCTTTGAACGGCATGGGGGTTCAAGTGATGGAATGGCTGGCGTATATGGACTGACTGATTGAATGGCTGAATGGCTATGCGGGCTCGATCTTCTCGATCTTCTCTGAGCTATCTCTCTTGTCAACGTCTCTGAGCTACATTGTTTACCTCTTCTCTGGGCTACGGCTCCATCCAGAACTTCTCTGCCTGCTCGCTTAGATTCTTCTTGCTTAAGCCACTGCAGTGACATCTGTGCCAGGATTTTGAGCCATTCGGCTAGGGGGTGGAACCTTGTCTGTAATCATTTTGTAGCAGTCTCGTTGGGACCTTCCATTTTTCAGTTGGGTTTGCTAAAAGTCTTGGCATTGGGTGACTTTGGCAGCCCAAGATCAGGACACCATCTTTGTATATATGGAAGCAGTATGAAACAGGCAAAACCGGCCTTCAATGAAACCACAGGAAATAATAGCAAACCCAAAATGGTTTGCCTTACCACTTTTTCAGCACCATAGTGCCATCGTTTTGTAGTACGAAACAAGGACTGAGCGATGTCATCCTGTTTGCCAGCATTGTCCAAACTCCATTCGCTTTGTGCCAATATTGCCAGAACGGCCCAGGACTACAAAATTCCGTCGTGCTTACAGGATAAGTTCATTTTGTGTTCCAAAAGGGCCACTGCTTTCGGATGATCCAGTTTCGCTAAATTAGTCTAGGGTCAGGCTAAACTAGCTAAGGCCATGGGCTAGTTTAGGCTGTTCGATAAACTATTTTTTCCTAGCCAGATAAAGTGGCGTTAAACTAGTTCACTAAACTCCTTAAATTGCGTGTATATATTAAATTTTAACTCGCTGCCCATCCAAGTGTCCCGACGTTGCTACTGGTTTAGTGATGTCGCGACGTTTTTTAATACTTTTTTAATACCCTGACTCTAGTGGTTGTTAAATCAAACCATGCAGCCTTCTGGGGTTAATTTCTGAAGATTGGTGGAACAAGTTTCGCAATCAGAGAGTTGGGGGCTAGAAAAACAAATAACGGACCAACCTGTTCTTTGCAACAACATGGTTTCTCATAATTAATTCTTTGTGATGACGGTTCGCCAGCCATGCTCTTGGGAATCGGGTCATGACAAAGCAGGCAAGCTATTGCAACGCATCGCAGTGCCACAAGTGATTTTGCAAAAATCAAACCAATCAAAACAATGATTTCCGTCGAGAAATCATCCCCAGAAAAGTGCGACGATGAACTTGGTTTGCCAAGTTTCTCGGCTACTTCTTCGTATTGGATGTTTGAAAATGTGGTTCAAGAGCCATCTTCGAGACTCGTAGATATTGAACTACGTTCAGCAGTGCCAATGAAGCTGCGTTGATGATTTGGCCGGTGTTTGCTGCTACTGCGCTTGCAGCTCTTGCTGATGACAGCTGTGACGCGCAGATTTTTTTGCAGAGCTTTGCCACGCAGGAGCGTCCTGCTGGCATCTATGACGCAGGTCCAGTCGCTATGACGAACTTTGCTGGCCAAATGCCCTCAGCAGTGAGTCCAAAAACAAGCTGCAGTCAGACGAGTTACTTGCCATCGGCCATTGAAAAGAAGTTCAAACTAAACGCGGTTCAGCTCACCAAAGATCGACATGTTTTGTGTGGAGCGTTGAAGGGCACAACCGAGGAGTGGCTTGCCATGAACTTGAAGAAAACACCGGCGACGTCCAAGTCTGACATTTTTTCGCAGATTTGCCCCGGCCCCATGGCGACAAAGCAGGTCATAGAGCCTCTGGTTGGTTTACTCCGAGACCCCAGATTTCTTTGCTTGAAAAAACCAGAGTTGTTTACATTTTCAGTTGACTGGCTGGTTCTGGCAGACAATAAAAGTTTCCCATCTACAACATCCAGCAATTCGCGCCGTATTTTCTTCGATGCAGGTGGGTCGAGATTTGTCGACGCTTTGAACTTTTTTGTCACCAAATACGAAGAAAGAGGCATTGAAATGGACCAAATTTATGTTTGGGAGATGGAGAAAAAGAATGCTTCACAATATTGGGCTGGGACGCCTGAAGATGTGCGGGCCAAGTGGGAGCCCCGCCTGACCTGGTACAATGGTATTCCTGTATCGATCAACGAAGGCGATATGCACAACCCTGTACATCGCATCCGTGAACTGTGTCGCATGGGCGACTTTTGTGCGTTCAAATTAGATATCGACACTCCGAAAGTAGAAGGCGCACTGGTTCAACAACTTCTTGAAGACCATGGCCATTTGACGGAATTTTTCTTTGAACACCATGTTCAAAGTCATTTGATGCACCTTTATTGGCTCCGTGATATAAACTTTGACCAGAATTTTGAACATAGCTATGATCTCTTTTCAGCATTGCGGGAGAAAGGTCTCCGTGCCCACTCATGGATATAGGTACAATTACAATTGGCAACGTCGAAAGGTGTGAAAAATGGTCTGTGAGCGCAGGTATCTTGAATCGAAACCGGAGGTGTTTTCTTTGCTGTTCGTTTTTAAATTTTGACGTATGAAGTATGATCAAAACCCGGGAACCGCGAGCAGATATATTTTTTCAATGGTTTTGATTTGTTTCAAGATCGGTCGCCGTTTCAGACAATGTCTTTTTTTGATGGGAGTGACTTGCGTGTGCGCAGAGCTGCCCGCTCTTCAACCTGAAAGCGTGTGGGGGGTCGTATTTTGTGAATGCCCGGCTCTCAATATAGGCCTTCAGGTCGACGGTCATGGTGCCATCACAAATGCCCGACGATAAGCTTTCGTTGCAAGCTTGCATCCTAGCCCTCCGCTGCTAAGCGCATTGGAAAGATGCCTTGCTAATTTCTGAAATATACGCAATGTTGAATGCATTCAACGATGTGACTTTTCTTTCTGAGGATCAGAAAAGCTCCCGTAGTGGCAAGGAACGCAACAGATGCGCCATTAATGAAGGGGAGGGTATTTTTGAAGATTTTTTTTGGGGGTCAGTTCGGGGAATTCTTTTCGCCCTTTTCCTTGGACCTTCCATTGCTTTCTGCGGTTTGGAGATGTTTTCCGCTTTAATTTTTCTGCTTCTTTGCTTCTCTGCTTTCTGCTGCTTCTGTGCTTTTCTCTGTTTTTTGATTCTATACTTTCTTGCTTCTCTGCTGTCTGCTTTTTTTTTCCGCTTCTCTGCTTTTCTTTTTTTCGCTTTTCTGTTTTTCTTGCTTCTCTGCTTTTGTGCTTGTTTGCTTCTCTGCGTTTTTTGCTTGTCTGCTTTTCTTTTGCTTTTTTTACTGTCCTGTTTCCTGTGATCAGGAAAGAAAGCGGCTACCTGCAAAACTTGACAAAATCATCCAAAAATCTTCCAAACATCAGTTCCACACGATTTCTCTCTATTCCAGTTTGGGCTAAGGATTGAACTTAGCAAATGGTTGGGATTTCTGCTGTGAAGCCTCTGGTGGTCGAAGGAAGTTTAGAAGTCAAACTTCCGACAATATAAACAGATGAAAAAGCAGAGGTGGGAAGAGTCAGAGAAGAGAAGAGAAGAAGAGAGAAGATCAGAGAAGAGAAAGAGTCAGAAGAAAGAAGATGCAGGTGTGCGAAAAGGTAGAAAAGTCGCGAATCATTCGTTTTTGCAATGATTTGTGGCTCCGGAGGGTCGAAAAGTAGGCTCGCTAAAGCGGCGGGTGCGGAGCGATCTGGGGAGATGAGAGGTGAAAAATTGCGCGCGGTTGTGGCGCGAAGCACGTTTCGAAGTCAAAAGTGCAAAAAAACTGACGGGTCCGGAGCACTTTTGGATGTGCAGTTTTTTCGTGGCAGGCGCAAGGGAGTGCGCACCTGGTCAAAAGTGAGCAAAACTGAGGGTTTTGTAGTATTTCCAAAACGATGGCAGGCGTGGGACATTTGAAGAGGATCTGGAAAGATGCATGTCGCGTGGCAGGCGCAGAACAAAAGACATGTTCATCAGAGGAGTTAGGAGGTCCGGGCGCTGATTTCCTCAGACGGTCTGCATTTTGGAGCATCAGATCTTCAGTTTTGGGAAGATGATTTTGTGTGACAGGTGCAGCACTTCTTATGACCTGGCCTCACTTTTTCGTGGCAGTCGCACTACTTTAGACAGATGGAGTGGAAAAATCGCAAAACGCATTGGTACGAGGCCGTCAGCTCAACTTTCTATTTTTGAGGGAAGTCTCGCAGAATTGCTTCGTTTTTGATGTTGTCAACGTCGAAAAATTGAGGAAGTCTTGCAGAATAGCTTTGTTTTTGATGTTGTCAAGTTCAAAAGGTGCGGAGGTCTCGCAGACTTGCTGCGCTTCTGATGTTGCCAAGCTCAAGAATTGAGGAAGTCTTGCAGGATAGCTTCGTTTCAAACTTGCAGATAGACAGATAGATGGATAGACAGAAAGATAGAAAGAAAGAAAGAACGATAGATAGCTAGTTGGATTGGTAGGTAGGTAGGTAGGTAGGTAGGGTAAGGTAGGTAGGTAGGTAGGTAGGTAGGTAGATAGACAACTGCTACTGCAACTACAGCTACACCACACTACCACTACAACTGCAAATATTTTACGCTACAGTACACTAATTACACTACACTACACCAGTTGCACTACACCAGTTACACTACACCAGTTACACTACACCAGTTACACTACACTGCACCGCACTGCACTGCACTACACTAATTACAGTACACTACACTAATTACATTACAACTACAACTACAACTACTATTACTATTAGAGTTACAGCTACAGCTACAGCTACACTACATTCCACTACACTACACTACACTAATTACATTACATTACGCTACACTACGTACGCTACACTACGCTAGAGTACAACTACAACTACAACTACAGCTGCGACTGCAACTACAACTACAACTATGCACACTACATTACACTACATTACACTACACTACACTAGACTACAACTACAACTACAGCTACGACTACAACTACATCTACACTACATTACACTACGCTACACCACTTGCACTACACTACGCTACACTACAGTACGCTACACTACAGTACGCTACACTACACTAACTACAACGACAGCTACCACTACAACTACACTACTTTACACCACACGACGCTAGACTACGCTACAGCACACAGCACTACAGCACACTACACTACATTACGTTACACTACACTCATTACACCACACCACAACTACAAATGCGACTGCGCTACGCTACGTACACTACACTACACTACGCTACACTACACTACACTACACTACACCACACTACACTACAACCACAACTACAACTCGACTACACTACAACTACAACTACAGCTGCGCTACACCACACTACATCTAGCAGTTGTGGGTGAGGTGACCAGTGCACGCATTGCATTCGCTTTGCCATGCATGCATCACAACAACTCACCTCTCCTATAGGTTTCCTATTCTTTGAAACTTCCGCCACCGCCTTGTGCGGTACTACTAGTATTGCCTTGCCTGCTCCCAAATTGGTTGTCTGTCAAACATGGTCGGCAACAGGTGAGGAGATGACCTCTGGGTCCAAAGCGTAGATTTGAGATTCATTCCGGTAGCAGCTCAGGCAGTACTTTCGTCATCTTTCGTCCAATGTAAGATGTAAAAACTTCCCCAGACATGGACAGGCGAATATCCTTCAGGCTATGATGGCGTGTCTTGCTTCGTAACACAGAAGCCAGATGCCACGACTTCTCGTCGAAAATGTCTTGCGTGGTTGAAGATGAATGGCTGTTGACAAATGCCGCAGAATATTGCTACACAGTTCCTTTCTTCCACTTTGCTTATTGGTGTGGCCAGCACGATCGTGGTTTCACCGCTATTGCATCCAGCAAGAAATATGTCTGTGGACAAGCGAGGCAACGACGCTTTGACGTCGAGTCTCAACTTCGTAGAACGATCAACGATCTTTTGGCCCGTTGCCTTTGAGCTTCAGTTCCTGTCTTGCGGCCAAGATGCGACATGCCTTGCTTCTTGACAATGTATCCTCATGTCGCAAATCGCGATTCCCCTGCGTCATTGCAGTCATCTGAAATAGACGCCATGCGGACACGCAGATATACATACATTGATAACTTCACTATCATTTTACATCCATAAATCCTGATGCCTCAGCAACCTCATTCATTATTCATCATCCTTCACCATGATTCATCTTCATATCCTCTCTTCCTAATCTACCCCCTCCTGTTTTCATGTCGGGCCCCACTGTCGTCTAGTGTCATTTCTTGCCACAGCAAGGTGGGGGACAGTATGATGAAAAAAGGCATGGGCAAAATCACGCCTGACCAGCAGCCATCATGATGTTAGAAATCTAGTATGATGTCACAGTTTTTGTTACTCGCAGCGCCAAAAAGCCATGTTCGGCAGTGCAAGCCGCCACCACGGGCATGGTGCTTGGCTGTGGCGGCCCGCCCGTCCTTCACTGCCATGTTTGGCTGTGGCGAAGGCTTCTTTTCGATGCAGTCTTTCTGTGCAGCGTCAGAAAGCGACATTAGAGGTAGCAAAAAGAGGACATGGCAGAGACAGTTCGCATGGAAATTCTTGTGCTTGACAACATGTAATTAGTAGAAAAAATTGTGTGGGTAGGCGCGACTCCCACTCCGGCCGGGTGGTTAAACGGTTTCTGCCATCAGCGTCCTTCATGAATTTACCTTTTGCCTGAGCGGCTTCTTCCCTCAGCTATTCTTGCTTTGGGCAGTTCTAAGCTGAACAACCTTTTTGTCTGAGTTATCTCGTCTTCTTCTCTGCGCTATCTCTCCCCTCTGTTATCACCTTGGAGCTAATCTTTCCTTCTTTGAGCCGAACTGTTCTGTTTGTTCTCTGAGCTGGGCTGGCGGCTCGCTCAGCCACATCTTCTCCATAGCACTTCTTGATTGAAGCGCCCTTTTCTTCAGCTCCCTCCTGCGGATGTTTGAGAACCCGCGACATTGCGCGTAGTGCAAGTCTTGCAGGGTGTGGGCAGCAGGCAGTGATGAGTCATGATTTGCTACAGAGACATCTAGTAATTATTGGAATCAGAAGCAGGTCTCTCAAAGAAGTTTCCGAACTAGAAGCCTGCTCTTCGTTGCCTTTGAAGTTCAAGCTGCTAGGGAGATTGGTGAGCCTGTGATCAGTTTCAATCCACTTGGAAACTTTCCAAAACCATGCCCCGCGAGAGAGACGTCTACTTTGCAAAACTCGCCGAGCAGGCTGAACGCTATGATGAGATGGCCGACTATATGAAGGCAGTCGGTGATGATGGCTCGGAGCTTTCAGTGGAGGAGCGCAACTTGCTGTCTGTGGCCTACAAGAACACCGTTGGATCTCGTCGTGCTGCTTGGCGCATCATTTCAAGCGTGGAGCAAAAGGAGAAGTCCAAGGGCAATGAGACCCAAGCAGGCTATGCTAAGGACTACCGGGTCAAGGTTGAGAACGAGTTGCAGAAGATTTGCGACACCATCCTCAAGCTGTTGGATCAGGGCCTCATCCCAAAAGCCGCTCAGGCAGAGTCGAAAGTGTTCTACCAGAAGATGAAGGATCGGTCTGGAGTGAACAGAGCGTTTGGCTTGTATTTGCTGTCTTATGACATGCTTTGCTATGTGCTTTGAAAATTTGACACGCGCTTTTGATAAGGGATAGGTTTCAGAAAACTTGCCAAGTGTAAAAGACAATTAAGTTCGAAAAGACCCGGAAAAGGAGAAAAGGAATAAAAGGAGGAAGGCAGCAAGGAAAGGCTGAAGGAAGGAAGGGAGGGAGGCAGAAAGAGAGGGTAGGTGTGAGGTGGCTGTTTTGTCCCCTGCTCTTGCCTTGGCAGTTCTTCATTGCATCCCCTGGAATTCCTTCTATGGTACGGGGGGCCGGGCACGATATTTGATTTTCTTGGTAAAAGCGTTTTCGTTTCAGGATTTCCGAGAGGGCAGTTAGTATAGGGTTATGATGAACACTTGCAAGTCCACGGAAAGCTGGCTACTTTGATTGTATAAAGAGAATATTCCAGGGCCCACAATCTTAGTTTTATGAAGGAGGAAATTCTAGTCACTTCGCAACGGGCGCCCCGATGATATGAAAGGCTGCGGGCGTCTGGCATACGCTTTGACATGTGCTCTGAACACTGGCTTGATCTCTGAACACCGTAGCCATTATGGCTCAAGCCAGAGGAAATCTTGGGGATTTCAGGAAATTTCGTGTGTTCTCGCCTGCATCTCAAGCCATATGCCACGCGACAAGGACGTCTACTTTGCCAAGCTTGCGGAGCAGGCGGAGCGTTACGATGAGAAAGCGCATCCTCTGCGGTGTGGAGTTCTGAATGTACTTTTGTTGCTGTGCTGGCTTCTATTTAGATGTGAAGCTATTTTGCTATTTGTCAATTTCCTGGTGAGAAATTTCAGTCGATCAGTCATCACTGCTCTTATGGCTGCGGAGTTACGTGGTAGTTCATGGACTTTGGCTTTCAAGTTTTGGTGGTACAGACTGAACGTTCTGGATTTCAGATTGGCTTGCTTTGTTTCTGAATTGATTTGCATTTTTGCTGTCGCTGTTTTGTTCTTCTGGAAGGGAAGAGACAGAGGTTTGAAAAAGAATGGAGAGAAAGGCAGACTCACTGCCTGGGATCCTATGCTGTTGCACTTGTTGGTGACGGCCGACATGACCGTTTGGTGTCTGAACTGGCAAAAACCCCTGGATATCAAAGGCGTTACTGGAACCTATGTGGCTGACTGCCCTAGGCTTTCTCTCAGATGGTTTGGCTTTCACTGGCAGTGACTGGTGCCTTACAAGCATTTTCTACACTGGAATTTTCTGTTTAAGCCTCTGGATGGGGTCGCAGTTGAATTATAAATAGTTCAAGCTGATGGTGTGGTTCACCAATGGACTGTGTAAGACTGTCTTGGCGTTTTGGCTGTAGTGCTGCCGATCTTTTGCGCGGTTGACCTCTTGGATGCAATCTCCTTCTTCATGCTTAACGTGTCTTCGCACTGGCGGGCGTTGCAACAGAAAGGTGTACATGTGTCGGAAAATTGGGGTTCGGCGACACGCCTGGCCTCGCAAGTTCCGCCGCAGGCGTAGAGGAATGGTTGTTTGCGTGAACCAATTTAGACAATTTTTTTGCAAAGTTTTTTGGGCATCTCTGCAGGGCCCTGCTGGGCCGGCCACCACCTGTCAACATGAGATCCGGTCTTTTCGGGGAGGTGGGAAAGCGCAGACTATGGAACAGAAATTGCTGCATGGTCTCCAGGCTTTGATCCAAGATGTTGTCTCCAATCCGACTCCGGTGACCAGAGGAGGCGGCAAAGGTGGCAAAACAAAACAAAAGAAAGATACTGTTAGTTTGAACAAAAAAGGTGACGAATACGGTCTAGTTCAAGCCTTGCAGCAGCTGACTGCTCGTGCAGCTGCTCAGCCTCAGGGGCTACTAGATCGCTTGAAAACCCTGATTGATGTGACTGAAAAAGGCAAGCTGAAACCCGGCAAACGCTGGCGAAAGCGGCAAGCCACTGCGCCAGCCACTGTCGCAGACGGTGCCAGTAGAACAGTCGCTGTGCCTAAGAATGCCGAGAACATTGGTGCAAAGCCGAGAACGCGTTGGAGTCAGTCCAGGGCCTGGAAGGCCAGGGCTCAAGACTGTGGTGTTAAGCAAGTGCTGCGCGGATCAGGTGCTTTGTGCCATGCTCTTGATGAAAATGAAGCTGGGAATTTGCTTTGTCAAGCTACTGATTTGCAAGATTGGAGTGAAGCCCTGCTCATATCGCAGGCAGCTGGTGGTCATGGATGCGGCCTCCGTCAACACGCCTGAAATACCTGGCGACCTGAAATATCAAGGCTGGAATTTGCAAGAGGTTCTCTCTGCTGGATATGTCTCGGAAAGACTGATGCAAAGAATGGTCTGGATGGCTAAGTGTTCGCACTCTGCGCACATGCAGAATGGTCACCACCTTCAGGTTGCTCAGCTTCTGAGCAGAGATTTTTGAATGATGCGGTGGACCGCGTGGTCCAGACAAAAGCAAAACAAGGCTTGAGCACCTTGCATGAGTGGAACCAAGCTGTTACGGCAGCCATCGCGTGGAATTCTTTTGCCTTGGACCGCCAACGCAAAGCAATGGTGATTTTGGAGGAGAGACTCCGATCTTCAGCTCCCTGAGCTGAATCTGCTGTGCAACAAATGTTGAATATACCAGCGCCATGGCGCCCGAACGTTGCCTCCAGCCACTCACTCCGGTGGGCCCAGGCTGTGGCAACATACAAGTACACACACACACACTGTTCGCACTCTGCGCCGGGTTTGGTGCCTGGTTCAGTGCTTCAGCGCCCGGGGCCAAGCAGAACTATTGATCGCGACGATAGCTTTGTTTTCCGAATCAGCTGTGATCTGAAGTTTTTGGCAGGTGATGCTAAGTCACAAGTGGCTCAGGGTCCTGGCAAGTTTTTTCGACATTGGTTATCTGGAATCAGTGCTTCTCCCAAAGATTTGTTTCTTCACTTGGGAGATACATGGCGTTTTGAAAAGGTGCCCAACGAAAACTTGATCCGAGGTTTTGCTCGTGTCAAAGGGCGTGAACATGCCTTGCAAATGCTGAAAGCTAGTGGTCAAGAACACAAAGGTCAGGTTTGGTTTCTGGATCCTACGAGTTGGGGTGCACTAACTGATTCGCCACCAAGATTATTGTGGTGCGATAAAGAAGCTCGTGAAAATCTATTGGCATTTGCCAATCGCATCTTTCGGGATGCTGGCCAATTTGGAGTGGCACGGGGTCGTGTTCAGTTGGCACTCCGTGTCAAAGCCGATGACAGCCGCCTCAAACCAGTGGTTTCTACATGGCATGCTTCCACGGTTCCTGCTGCATCCCTGCTCAGCCCAATGCTGTCCAAGTTACCCGCGAGGACGGCAGCACCTATGTCACCAATGATTTGCAGGACACCTTTGATGCTATCACAAACTTTTGGCAACAAATTTGGCAACGGAACGCTAAATGTGAAGAGTTGCTGCGCCTGCGTAGCAACACCTTGACACGGCCGCCCGGGCCGGCAATGCAAAATGACTGGCACCTGCAACCCTCAGAGCTGCACGCTCTTGCTCAGTACAATTCCGGTGCTGCGGGGCCGGATGGTGCGCTATTGGCCTGAGCGCGCTTGGCAGAAGTTCTTGATGCTCTGGCATGAATGGTGTGTCCGTGACTGTTTCCCTGATAATTGGAATCACTGTCGTCACGTGATGTTGCCCAAAGATTCTGATTATTGTGACGGCATCCTGCCTGTACAAGCATTGAGGCCCATATGTGTGCAGTCCTTGATTTGTCGCCTGCTTTCCTCTGCAATGGCTCGCCGGGCCAGACACTTGTCTGCTGCCCTTGTTTCCAATGATGTCCATGGTGCTGTGCAAGGCCGTGGCCTTCACAGTGCCATTCTTGCGCTTGACTCAGCCTATGAACAGAATCATATCCTTTGTAGTCTTGACCTGGCTAAAGCCTTTGATCATATGAGTGCGGAATTAGCTTCCGGATTCTTGCAGCACGCTGGTTCCATGTTGAATGGGTCCGTCACCTCAGACATGTTTGGAGTAAACAATATCGATGGATCCAGTTGTTGAATTTCACTTGTCCACAAGCCGTCCAAGTTTGCACATCCATTCCTCAGGGGTGCGCCATGGCTCCACTGGCCATGGTGCTTTATCTGGCCGAAGCTGAAACTGCGGTCACGCGAATGGCAAGGGCTAATGGTTTTTCCAGCAAATTTCCTTCATCGATGACAGAAATTTTGTGGTTGACCCGCCTGCCAGCTTGCAACAGGCGTGCACCAGCTGGCGACAGTGGTGCCAACGGCTGGGACTCAAAGAAAACCATCATAAAATGAAAGTGCTTTGCAAATCATTGGATCTCGTGCAGCAGATTCGAGATAGTGGATTTGAACATAATTGCATTGTTGATAACCTCCGTGTGCTTGGTGTTGACTTTGGAAGCAATGAAGTGCCATCTATTGTGAAAAGAGAAGAAGTGGCTCAGACTATTTGGCGTCGTTTAGCTTTACTGCCTGTTTCCATGGCACAAAAACGAAGCCTTTTTCGATCCCGTGCTGTGCCCCTGCTGACGTGGGGGTGGTGGCTTGTTTCGCCTCAAATTGGCTTTTGCAAAACATGGATGGGCAACATGAAAACTGCGGTTTGTAACCTCAATAATTTGGCTTCCAATGAGTTGTGGCACATACTTGAAGGTCACTGGACCGACCCCATGTTCATCAGTGGCCAAGAAGCTGTGAAAAACTATTTTCGTGCTGAAAAGTTTTGGCACGATCAGGGCTTTGTCTTTGGCAATTGCAAGTGGGCCACCCGCGTGGCCGAGTTCCTTCACGATTTTGGTTTCCAAAAGCTTGATAATGGATTGTGGCGCCTGCATACCATCACGTTTGATTTTCGATGCGATGATGCAATTTTTAAAGCTACTTTGAATCATTTTGCACACAGTCTGCGTGAAGCATTCCGACATCAGCAGATGTTGGGTTTTGTTGCCAGCAGTCGCCGTGATGCCCGGGAAATTGTGACTGATTTTGTGTATGATCCTAAGGTCCTCACTGCAGCTTCGAAGTTGTACAAGCAAGCCAATAGTCATCAACGGGCAGTGATGCTCGGTGCTGCACTCAGCCCAGCAGCATATGACAAAATTGCTGACAGAGAAGTGTCCACCCGATGCATTTTGTGTGGTCAGTGCCGGACGCCTGATTGGCGACATGTTGCATGGGACTGCATGCATTTTCATGGCACGCGGCCCCCGGAGCCGCATTGTTCATTGCAGAAAAGATTGGACTGGCCCTCTATGGGTAGGTATGATTTAATGACTTTGAAACACCTTGCGGCTGTGCGCCGTGTCTGCCTGGAGCAGGTTGGCTTCCGGCGATAAGCCTTGTGGTGTTTCCATTATTTTGGTCATTGTTTTCCCCCCGGGTCGAGTTTGGTGATGTCCTTTTTGGCCCTGATGGGCCGCCGGCCCTGACGGGCCGCTGTGCGGCTTCAACACGTGTGGTTGTGGCCTTTCACAACTTATTCTGAACGCTATGCTATGATGGTCTCGAATGCGCAGCTTTCACGAAGCCGAGATGTTTCTACAGATGCGCTGCGTTTTCAGTGGTGATGCTTGGGTGTGGCATCTTCTATAGCCTGATGGTTTCCTTGATCCGGCTGCTGCGGGTTAGCCATAGTTTTCGCTTGGTCTTCAAACAGGTACTGGAGTTGCAGCTGAGATGTGTTTGCCAATGTGCTGCAATCTCAGCATCTTTCATGCGTTTTGACATCAGATCCTATGCTTTGGCTATGTGGAAAGGGATGCCCTGGTTTGGCCTTCTTTGCACTCCCTTCTTTGCGCAGTTCTTTGTCATTATTAGGTATCTCCTTTTGGTGCGAATCCTTCTTGCACATGGATTCCTGTTTGCTTTTGTGGCTTTTACCGGCTTATGCCCATTTGCTGTGGTGGCGTTGTTTCATCCAATTGGTAGATGCAAATGGAAATTGAAATGCAGAAAATGTGGACTGCGTAGAGTTTGTTGGAAGCGCAGGCGGAAACGTATTTGTCCTTCAGTTTGTACCTTGTCACGTCTGCGTCTCAAACTCAATCAACGCAGACAGAGATTGCGTGGTGGTGGCGGTGGGCTGGCCGATGCCCTGCAGAAGCTGCTTGAATCACATCAGAACGCTGAATGCGAAGATCGCGAGGAAGCGTGGCTGAGGCGGAAGCTTGAGTCTTTACTTTCCAAAAAACAATCCAATGGCACTTTGATGACAGGTTTGAGAACCATTTTGCAAGAGGCAGAGGCTTGGCAGACACAAGCTCAAGCCCCGGCAACCAAAGCTTCGCGGTGGAAAGCTTCCAAGTTCCGCTCTCAACCATGGGAGCCCTCAAAAGCTCATCCTGATCAATGTCAGGGTCCCTCGACCACTGGCAATGCATGGCACACGTCTCACATCAACAAGAAACAAAGCAGTCGATGGCAGAAGGAACACAGTGAGGAATGGCATCAGGTAAAATGGCGCCCACGTCCTCAAGAGTTTGGCGACCCTGGCAAAGTGCGGATATTTTGTGATGTGGTCGATTTGTCTGATCGCCTGGACCTCATGAACGACCAGATGCTTGATCACGGTGATTTGCATGTGGTGTTTCATGCTGACGACTGACGACGAACATGCTGCACAAGAGGCCTCCGATATTTTGCACGTTGTACCAGGTATGAAAGCTAGCATTTTTATGACTGGCAGAGCTAAAATCAAAGAACAGCAAGAATTTCCCTCGTGGTTGGAAAACGCCATTTGGGGTAGAGTTGCAGGTCACATTTCGCAAAAGCTCCAAGTACGTGCTGGATGGCTATTTTTTATTGGTCATGATGGCACCGAACTTGCACGGCCCAAGAACACCACCACCATCAGTTTGCGACAGCGCATTGAGAATTCGGTGGTTCTCAGAATGATTCTGGATCGGAAATATTGCAGATATTGGAACACTTCCAATGCCGGAGCACAGGCACGTGCATGGTGCCATGCGCAATCAGCTATGGCTCAGGAAAGCATTCAAGACATTTGGGGACTCAACCTCATTGACAAGGCTTTTGTCAAGTGCATGGTCCGAGTTGCAAACGCTGAAGTTGCAGAGACGCTGCTGCGCGCAAGCGGCACAGAACATGCTGGCAACAGGTGGTTCATTGAGGGACTCACACCTGATATGACTCCAATGGCTATGCAGTGGATACCCTGGAATGGACAAGAGAATTGGTTGGAGTACGGCGCTCGGTGTGGGATAGAAGCAGATCAGCAAGGGCTCATACGGGGACGACATCAGCTCGATTCAGCTCGGCATCAAGGTGCCGGTAGACACATGTCCCACTGTGATCACAAAATGGATTCTTGAGGGGTTCCCTAAGGTTGCACATGTTGATGATGTGCGCCAATGTTTGGAGCAAAATGGTTTTGATGAAGTCGAAATTTTGGAAAACCCCCAAAAAGAGCACACACATTGTTTGGACCTTCAATGCCAAACGCGATGACAGAGAAGAGATCATTCAGTCTTGCATTGTCGATGAGGAGGGCATCAGCTATGATGTCGTCATGACGCGTGCAGTCAAGACGCGTCGCGTGCAAACCAAGAGCACTCCGTTGCGCACCCCGAAACGCATGTTTCTCAATTTGGAAAAATCTTGGCAGAACAGCCGGCCGGCAGCGGCCCCAAGCATTGCTGCAAATGACAAGGAGCAGGAAACTGAAACGTGGGATCACGAAGAGGATGAAGCAATTTTGGACTGGAATGGCCCGAGGGACTCTGCGCCTGTCAAACCAGCACACCGAGAACGCAGCCCCAGGCGACCAGCTCCAGTCTCAGTTGTTTCTCATGAAAACATTCCAGAAAAATGGAACAGAGGTGGAATTTTGATGCGTAATCCAGGACAAGGAGATTGTTTATTTCATGCACTGGTGCAAGCCCTGGCAGAACAGGAACCGGGGAAAAAAAGCTCTCACAGGCAACTTCGTGCTTTCACGGTAGCCACCATGAAAAACAAGGCTCCAGTCTATGAGAAAAAATGGGACAAAACAGATTCCAAAGGAAAGGATACCAAGATGTCTTTTCTTGAATATGTGGATTCAATTGCAGTTCCGGGCACCTGGTCCGGAAAACTTGAGGCCCAGGTGCTAGCTGAAGCTTTGCAGATGCGGTTTTTGGTGCATACTTTGTGGGATGAGATATTAGATATTAACCCTGAAGCACATGATACGGCATGTTTCTATTTTGATTACCACTGTGGGCACTGGGAGTTTGTAAAGGATGCAGACAGCAACCATTGGTTACGCAAAAAGCGAACTTTTTCACTTGAAGAAGTGGATCCAGCAGCGGTTGGTTTCAAACGTTTGCGAGGTGGTGTGGCCCAGAAGCATTTGTCTCAGTGATTTTGCATCGCAAAAGTCTTCCAAGAAACGATCCAGATGTGCCTCACCTAAGCTTTCTGATTTTGCTTCTCTCCATGATGGCCCTGCTCCTACACGTTCCAAGTCACGTAGAAGTAGCAAGGATCCTGTTGAGTCCGTTGCACATTCCAAGTCACGTAGAAGCAAGGATCCTGTTGAGTCCATTGAAGAACTTTCGGGTCCCAGATTGCACGCGCCAAAGCGCGATGGTAAAGTTGATCAAGCGGCAGTAGGTACGTGGACTTGCAACATGTGTCAGCAATCGTTTCAAGGCACCACCAGGCAATTTGCAGTGTTTAGATACAGACACCGTGCAAAATGGCATCCTGAAGTGCCAACTCGTTTGATTTCCCAGCGGCGCCATTTGATTTCCAGTTTTGTCGAGGTCAGTGATATACAAATGCACTTACGTAGTTGGACATGCAGCAAGTGTAAATTAGGACTGCCTATAGGTTTGAAGTACACTGCGCGGCGAAACACTGCCATCAAACATTTGCAGAAGTGCTTTCGCAAAAAACCTATTTCCTTTGGAGAAAATGCAAGCAGATTGGCAAAACGTGGTCTGAGTCGAACTGGTGCAGGCAAAGCACCCCTTCCATTGACGGAATATGGCAAAGAGCATGTGTGGGTTGAGCTTCATCACAACAAGCGTTTCAAGAACCAAACCAAACAATTTTGCAAAGATTGCGCGGTGAACAAAGGAAAGTTCACCCATGGCCATTGTCCAGGTCAGTGTGAAAAGTTGCACCATTTGAAAAAGAAATGGCGACAATGGGTTTTCCTTCGGAAAAATCATTCCGATGACATCGCTGAGTGGATACAAATTTGGAATTTGAGTCGGTATGATGTGCTGGAACTAGACAAGGTGGCTCTTCGCCGAGGCAATCTTTCTAGAAAGGCGCTGCCGCCACTCACAAAATCTACATGGTGGCGTGATTTATGTGCTGATGGGGACGTTGAACCAAATCCTGGCCCACTTCATGGTCATCTGAGGCTTGGTTTTCTGAACGCAAATGGGTATGACAATTGTTGGGCTTCACTTTCCTATATGGCTGACAATTTTGGTGTCTTTGGCTTGGTGGAAACGCATACGAACACCTGGCAATGCAGCAAGGTGGCCGCTAAACTGCAAGCGGAAGGCTTTCGGGTTTGGAGCATTGCAGCAACTGAGCACAGGGACATTCGCGGCCGGACAAACTTCTCCGGTGGCATCATAGCAGCTGTGAGAGCCAACAGAAAAGGTTTTCATTTTGACGAACTGCAAGGAGAGGATGGCTCCCTCATTATTCTGGATCTTCAGCATTGCATTCTGGGTTTTGCATGGGCTAGGAATGGGCTCACGGCTGACAGCGAACTGGCACAATGCATTTTTGATGCTCAATGTTTAGCGCATATTCAGAATATCCCCTGGGTCATGGTTGGCGATTGGAATCTCCTTCCCCATCAGAATCCTCTTCTTGACCCTGGAACAGCTTTGGTGGCAGCAACTGATGAATTTGGGGAGCTACTTCCCACACGTTGGTCGAACTTGGACAGTACAGAAAACTGCGATGCATAGACTATTTGTTGGCTGAGCGCAATCTGGTTTTCGAGGTTTCGCTGGACAGCTACAAGTGTAGCGACCACAAGATTGTCTCTTGCACATGGCAATGTTTCTCTCCTTTTGTGCATTTGGCAGGTATGAAGCCGACCTTGAACTACTCCAAACCTGCAGAAGTCAGCGCAGACGTGTGGATGGCGGCTTTTCAAGCAGAATGGCAGCATGTGCAAATCCCAAACACAAGTGGAAATGCAAACACAGCTTGGCATTGGTTTTGTGAGACAGCGGAGAACATCCACAAGAAAGTGTTTTTGCAATTTGGGGGAAATCACCGACAGTGTTGGACAAGGAACAAGGGAACAAGCCCTCAGCTTTTGGACAAAGGTACAGTCACCACTCGTGCCTCCTCAGCAAGATCCATCCGCATCCGACGGGCGCGATACTTGATTTTCTTGGTAAACGCGTTTTCGTTTCAGGATTTCCAAGAGGGCAGTTAGTATAGGGTTATGATGAACACTTGCAAGTCCACGGAAAGCTGGCTACTTTGATTGTATAAAGGGAATATTCCAGGGCCCACAATCTTAGTTTTATGAAGGAGGAAATTCTAGTCACTTCGCGACGGGCACCCCGATAATATGAAAGGCTGCGGGCGTCTGGCATATGCTTTGACATGTGCTCTGAACACTGGCTTGATCTCTGTTCTGAAATATATGGCATGATCATTATTGATCTTGGTATGTGTTCATGCCCCTTCCCATGAAGGCAGACTACTACCGCTACATCGCAGAGTTCCGCGGTGGTGATGAGAAAAGCAAAGCAGCAGAGGAGGCACGGAAAGCGTATGCGGAAGCGGCTGACGTGGCAAAAGCTGACCTGGCAGTCACTCATCCAATTCGTCTTGGCCTGGCCTTGAACTACTCGGTCTTCATGTATGAGGTGCTGAACGATCCAGATGAAGCCTGCAAAATGGCCCGCACAGCCTTTGAGGACGCCATTGCAGAGCTTGACAATGTTGCAGAAGATTCCTACAAGGATTCCACCTTGATCATGCAGCTTTTGCGAGACAATCTGACTCTCTGGACTTCTGACCAGGAAGCCGGAAATTGAGACTTGTGATGACTTGTCACAACTTGTGTGGCGCTTGCCACACCACAGATCTGATAGGCCGACAAAAGCAACACAGACACTTTGGTTGCGAATAGTTGGCCCAGCATGCAGCGCAATGCCTGTGGCAAAAGCATGCTCGCGGCGTTTGCATGTTTGCAGGTTTGTGCAGGTTTGCAGATTTTTACAGGTTTGCAGGGTTTTTGCGAGCAATTTGCAATTTGCGATTCTTTCATTTTTCTTCATGAGCTGGCTGGTTTCTTGTTCCTATCCCTTTGGAGTTTGAAGCGCGGACTGAAGTTGCGTTTTGCAAGAACGAGATTGAGATGGACATGATGACATAATTTGACATATTTGCCCTTGGACAGGGAACATTGTTTGGTTTTGTGTGTCCGTCCTCCCCAGGCAAGGTTGATTGATTGCCATGGGCTGCGAGGTGAGCCTACTTATGGAAGTGACTGGGGTGTTTTTAGAATTAGAAGTTCGTTTATCTTTGCCTTCAATACATAGCTCAAGCTGCTAGGGAAATTGGTGAGCCTGTGATCAGTTTCAAGCCACTTGGAAACTTTCCAAAGCCATGCCCCGCGAGAAAGACGTCTACTTTGCAAAACTCGCCGAGCAGGCTGAACGCTATGATGAGATGGCCGACTATATGAAGGCAGTCGGTGATGATGGCTCGGAGCTTTCAGTGGAGGAGCGCAACTTGCTGTCTGTGGCCTACAAGAACACCGTTGGATCTCGTCGTGCTGCTTGGCGCATCATTTCAAGCGTGGAGCAAAAGGAGAAGTCCAAGGGCAATGAGACCCAAGCAGGCTATGCTAAGGACTACCGGGTCAAGGTTGAGAACGAGTTGCAGAAGATTTGCGACACCATCCTCAAGCTGTTGGATCAGGGCCTCATCCCAAAAGCCGCTCAGGCAGAGTCGAAAGTGTTCTACCAGAAGATGAAGGATCGGTCTGGAGTGAACAGAGCGTTTGGCTTGCATTTTGCTGTGTTATGACATGCCTTGGATTGCCTTGGCATGCTTTGACAAGGGGGGGTATTTTTTGCCGTCTCCCCCTTGGCTTCTTGGCTTTTGTTGGTTTCTTCTTGGTTCTTTGGCTTTTGGTTCTTTTTGAGTTTGTTGTCTTTGCGGGTTCTGTTTTTGACGTCTGCATTTTCTTGTTTTTTTTTGGCTGTTGTTGTTTCTGTGGCCTCTGTGGCTTCTGTGACCTCAAGGCTTTTGATATGTTTTACACATTCTTGGCTGTGGTTCACGGTTCGTTCTTGATTTCGGACTTTGTGGCTTCTTGGGCTTATGGCTTCTGAACTTGTTGCCATTCCATACTTGGGGCTTTTTGTTCTTTTGGCCTGTTACTTCTCGGCCTTTCTCGGCTTGAGCGCAAGGACAAGAAGATCAAGGAAAAGAACAAACGCAACATCAATCTTCAAATTCCAACGTGCAACAGGCAGAATTAACAGGAACACAAAAAAGAATATGAACGCAAGAACAATATGTCTCACAACACCATGCGGGCAAGACGCCGCGACCCCCGAACCCAACAACACGCACCACCGCCAAGAAGCAGAAGAAGAATGGCAATTCAAGAAGAAGACGAAGGAAACGGATAAGAAGGAAGAACATACTTTCTTCCAGTCATCCCCACCAACTGATATTCTACCTGACACATAGTCTGACATTATATCTGGCATTCTATTTGACACATAAATAAACAAAATTAAATAGATAGATACATAAATATATTTATATTTGACATTCTACCTGGCATTCTAACTGATGTATATTTTGACATTCTATCTGTTATTCTTTGTGGTATTCTATCTGACACCTGGTGCTATCTCACGGTTGCGGTATGGCAGTGGCCACTGAGATCTGGCGCGGCAGTGCCCGCTGAGATCCGGAGCTCGCAGAAGAGGGCGGAGTCCGAGGCGGGAGCGTGGAGGACCAGGAGGTGGAGGTGGGCGGCACGCAGCTCTGATAAAATCTAGACAATCTAGAGACCCCCACCTGGCAGGTGGGGAAAAGAAGAAGGAGAAGGAGAAGGAGCAGGAGAAGGAGCAGGAGGAGGAGAAGGAGAAGGAGAAGAAGAAAAAGAAGAAACAGAAACAACAGAAGAAAAAGACGAAGAAGAACACGCAGAAAAAAAGAAGAATAAACAATGACTAAAACGTGACGATTTGACAAATGAACGACCAACAATCACCGCAACAACCCACCACAACACACGAACGCAACAACAAGTACAACAACCAACTATATACAACAACCAGCCACAACAACAACAACAACAACAACAACAACAACAACAGCAACAGCGACAGCGACAGCGACAGCGACAGCGACAGCGACAGCGACAGCGACAGCGACAGCGACAGCGACAACAACAGCGACAACAACAACAACAACAACAACCACAACCACAACCACAACCACAACCACCACAACAACCACAACAACCACAACAACCACAACAACCACAACAACCACAACAACCACAACAACAAGCCCAACAACAACAACCACAACCACAACAACCACAACAACCACAACAACCACAACAACCAACCAACAACCACACCACAACCACAACAACCACAACAACCACCAACAACCACAACAACCACAACAACCACAACAACCACAACAACCACAACAACCACAACAACCACAACAACAACCACAACAATGAAAACAACTTCCAACTACAAAACCGCAAAACCACAGCAACCACAACCACAACCACAACAAACGACAGCAAGCAACAGCAAGAGACAGCAAGCAACAGCAAGCAACCGTACGCGACAGCAAGGAAGAGCAAGCAACAGCAAGCAAGAGCAAGCAACAGCAAGCACAAGCACAAGCACAACAACAGCAACAGCCACAGCCGCAGCAACAGAAGCAGCCAACAGCCAACAGGCACCAGAGAGCAACGAACACCAACGAACACCAACGGGCACCAACGAACACCAGCAACACCAACAACCAACCATAACGAACAGCAGCAAACAGGAACAAACAACAACTAACAGCAACTACTAGTAGCGGCGAATAACAGCAACTAACGACAACTAACAGAACACCAACAAGCAACGACTAAAAACTTGACGATTTTCAACGAACGACTAGTGACTAGCAATCACCCCCAACCAACCACAACAACCACAACAACCACAACAACCACAACAACCACAACAACCACAACAACCACAACAACCACAACAACCACAACAACCACAACAACCACAACAACCACAACAACCACAACAACCACAACAACCACAACAACCACAACAACCACAACAACAACAACAAGAAGAACACGAACATCAACAATAACAAGAACAAGAACAACAAGAACAAGAACAAGAACAAGAACAAGAACAACAACTGCAACTGCAACTGCAACTGCAACTGCACTTGCAACTGCAACTGCAACTGCAACTGCAGCCCCAGCAACAACAACTACTACAATGACAGCAACAAGACGAACAGCCAACAACCAAGAACCAAGAACAAAGAACCAACAACAACTAACAACAACTAACGGCAAGTAACAGCACCTAGCGGCTAGCAACTAACAACTAGCAGTTGGAAACTAGCAAGTACTAACAAGCAATGACTAACAACTTGACAATTTACCGCGAATTACTCGCAATCACCACCACCAACCAAGCACAACAACCAGCCACAGCAGCCCACCACCACCACAACAACCACAACAACGACAACAACAACTACAACAACCACAATAACCACAGCAACCACAAAAACCACAACAACCACAACAACCACAACAACCACAACAACCAACCACAACAACCACAACAACCACAACAACGACAACAACCAAAACAACCACAACAACCACAACAACCACAACAACCACAACAACCACAACAACCACCACAACCACAACAACCACAGCAACCACCACCACAACAACTGCAGCAACCGCAACAACAACAGCAACAGCAACAACAACAACAACAGAAACAACCGCAACAGCAACCACAACAACCACAACCACAACCACAACCACAACCACAACCACAACAACCACAACAACCACAACAACCACAACAACCACAACAACCACAACAACCACAACAACCACAACAACCACAACAACAGCAGCAGCAGCAACAACAAAAGCAACAGCAACAACAACATCATCAACAACAACAACAACAACAAAAATCACAACCACAACCAGAACTACAACTACAACCAAGACCATGTTCATCAGCACAAACAATCACCAACACTTGGCAAAAACCGGCAGCAGCCGCCAGCAACCGTTAACAACCCCCGGCAACAATCAGCAGTCATCCGCAACCGCCAACAACCACCCACAACCACCAACAGCCACCAACAACCACCGACAACCACCAGCAACCACCAGCGACCACCGACGCACACAACCGACCATCAACGACCACAACCGCAACCACAATCGCGACAAGACACAAGCACACTCAAATTCACTTCAACAAGAACGACGGCGACAAAAACGACGACGACGACAGCACCACCACCCCACCAACCACCACCACCACCACCACCATCATCATTATCACCATCACCATCATCATCATCATCCTCATCATCATCGTCATCATCATCATCATCATGATCATGATCATGAACAACGTCAGCATAAACAGCAACGACAACAACAAAAACAAACCCCCAAAAATCAAAAACAAGGGAAATGAACGAACACAAAAACAAAACAACCGCAACCACAACGTGGACGACCGGAAGCCGTGCTGATTTTTTTTTTACAAATTGCGGTTGGCGCCGTGGCGAAGCGCAAATTCATAGCTTCAAAGTGGGACCAAAAATGGCGTCCAAAATTGTGTGAAATTCAATTCACGTTTACCACAGTGCAAACCTTTATATAGTCCTCTTGAGTTGCACGGCAGTAAACGCATTTTCAGACGATGCGCTTCAAGGTCCCCTTGACAAAAATCAACAGTTTTTTGGAAATTATTTGAACAAATCAGCAGCGTAGTATCAAGAACATAGCTCGAAGTTATTGGAAAATTCAGTATCACAACATCAATCATATACGTGGAAACTCTCGGAAAAACTGGGTGCCGTAACATCAAGAACGTAATTGGAAATTGTTTGAACAAATTAAACTCTATACCGTAGCATCAATAATTAATTGGAAAAGACCCAAAAGCGTTGCGTCAAGTAGCGTAGCATCAAGAACGTGGTTGGATTGAATGTACCATATAATATGTAGTTGGAAATTATTGGAGAAATGCTGGTGTGAAACATCAAAAATGTGGATGGAAATTATTGGAAAATCACATTAGCATCGAGAATTTAGTGGTAAATTGGTTCAAAAAGTTAGTAGTGTAGCAAAAAGTAATTGGAATTTGTTGCAAAGAAATTGTAAAAACCAACCCCGTCCCACCTCACTCCCTAGTACGGACGGCGTCTTGAAATTATTTGGCAACGGTGATAGCCGTGGGAAATTATAATTCCAAAATGATGCAAATAGGTCCTTCCAATGAAAAATCAGAACCCACATTATTTGCAAATGCCTTGCGGACGATGGATTCAAATTCCGAAACATAGCAGCGAACGGAAATGAACCATTTCATGAGGCGCACATGAAAAATAGCGCGCTTGCAAAAAAACATAACGCCAATGAAGTTCAAACACAGCAAAGCAGAGGTCTATAATTCAAAATTCCACATAGACTGAATTTCGTTTTCCAAAAGACTTGTACATACTGTGCAAATGATAGATTCACATGCAACAATGCTGCAAATACTTGGCAGATGGAAAAACATGAAAATTCCAAGATGTTGCACATACCCTGCCAAGAAAGGATTTTGCCTCAAAATGATGCAAATAGCAAAATAAACATCACCAAACCAGATAAACATTTATAATATAATATAATATAATCTAATATAATATAATATAGTATAATATAATATGATATGATATGATATAATATAATATAATATGATATGATATGATATGATATAATGTAATGTAATATAATATGATATAATATAATATAATACAATATGATATAATATAATATAATATAATATACGATAATATAATATAATATAATATAATATCTTTTGATTTGATATGATATGATAAAAAAAATATTATGTAATATAACATAATAGAATGTGATATAACATAACATAGCACAACATAATATAAAATAATATAATTAAATTTAATTTAATATGATGCAATATAGTAGAATCAAAAAAACAAAATGCACAGATTGACAAGTGTTTTGACATGAACTCTGACCAACATTTTCATAGTTGTTCTGACTTTTTTGGTTGGGAACATAAATCAGCATCACTTGTCATTGATATGTATCAATGTCCCTTCCCAGCCTTCCCATGAAGGCAGACTACTACCGCTACATCGCAGAGTTCCGTGGTGGTGATGAGAAAAGCAAAGCAGCAGAGGAGGCACGGAAAGCGTATGCGGAAGCGGCTGACGTGGCAAAAGCTGACCTGGCAGTCACTCATCCAATTCGTCTTGGCCTGGCCTTGAACTACTCGGTCTTCATGTATGAGGTGCTGAACGATCCAGATGAAGCCTGCAAAATGGCCCGCACAGCCTTTGAGGACGCCATTGCAGAGCTTGACAATGTTGCAGAAGATTCCTACAAGGATTCCACCTTGATCATGCAGCTTTTGCGAGACAATCTGACTCTCTGGACTTCTGACCAGGAAGCCGGAAATTGAGACTTGTGATGACTTGTCACAACTTGTGTGGCGCTTGCCACACCACAGATCTGATAGGCCGACGAAAGCAACACAGACACTTTGGTTGCGAATAGTTGGCCCAGCATGCAGCGCAATGCCTGTGGCAAAAGCATGCTCGCGGTGTTTGCGTGTTTGCAGGTTTGTGCGGTTTGCAGTGCGATTCTTCCATTTTTCCTCATGAGCTGAACAGTCGTCTGAAGTCGCGTTTTGCAAGAACGAGATTGAGATTGACATATTCTTAGTTGATGTCAATTGTGGTGATTGTGGAAACAACTTTTTGGTTTCGCGTGTGCATCTCCAGGAAAGGTTCCATGCCATTGATTGCGATGTGAGTCTTTCTCACCACAGCTACTTCATCAAACTTGGGTGTCTCTGCTTAGGAGCTGTCATCTTGATATAAGCGATGACATCATTGCCAATGTGAAAGCTTTTGTTTGGGCACGCAGTATAATATGATGTATTTCTGTGAAAACTCACCAAACCCTTGCGTAGCTGGCGTAGCTCAAGAAGGCTTTTTCTCAGTCACTCGAGCGCCTTTCACAGCGATCCCAGCGACACATGGGCAGCACTGGCATCTTCTGAATACAGTTGGCCAGCCATTCTTTTCTTTTGTGTTTTTGGTCCTGAAAAGCATTCTTGAAACTGCAAATGGCAGTCAATTTGATGATATTGGAAGCAGCTCACACATCTTACCAACATTGTCATGCACCCAGCATCATGGCCGCCACATCCTTTATGCACACATGCAACTTGGCAGATTTTGGCCCTTTGTGGAATCGGTGTCAACTGTGTGAACACGCTTGTGCAGAGCTTGCATGTTGTCCCGCACGCTTCTTCTTGTTTTGGTTGTCAAATCAGTCTCTTGAATGGTTCTCCGCTGGACACATACTATATAATACTGTCACTGATGCCTGTATAGCCTGTATATCGTCTGGTTTCCCAGAAAGGTCAAGAGTCTAGAGAGTGCAGATAAGAAAGTCCAAGTGAAAGGTCGAACTGTCCATCGTAAACCTAACAAGATGAAAAAGGGTGCCACCCAAGGTGTGCTGCCTGCTGAGGTTGCCGCTGCATGTGGCCTTTTGGTGGCAGCCGAGCACTTGCCTATTTTGCGGACAAGAAGAACGAAGATCATGATGAGGAGGACCATTGATACCAAATATATCCAAATATATTAATATGATTTGATATGATGTAATATGAGTTAATATGTACAAGAATGGTTTTATGTCCAGTCAGCACAGTCAGCTGGATGTGAAGGCCTGCGCAAATGGCACTGACAGTTGAAGCGATTAGATGCCACTAGCTGCTCCCAATGACGTCAAGGGCCTTCCTCGCAGGAAGCACACCACCTCCTTGGAAACGTGATTGACAGCGATGATGAGCAAGTTCAGGCCGAAGCTTGGGCGAATGGAATGCCGAGGTGACAAGTCCAATGTGTAGCACGCAGACTTGTTGGCTTCATGCTGATTCTGCAGGCAGATGCTTTGAGTCCGGATCAGATCAAGAGGTGCAAAAGAGCTTGCAGAAAGTTCATGTGGGGATTGTGAACTCGTTGGCGAAGTTGCTTCCTTCATTGTGAGCAGTGCCATTCCGCAAACCTTTCTTGAATCTGAGAGGTTCTTGGATGCCTCGAAATCCACTCGGTCTGCGACCTCTAACATCTCGAACCGGCCTCGTCATTTGCCAAGCTGAAGCCTGTTGAACGTAGCCAGCCACCGTGAGACTGTTTGTCCTTCTTTGGAATCCAGAGCTGATGTCATCTTGTCAGAAGGCCTGGTTTTGACACCGAACAGAGTTGGAAGAACACACACACACACAACCATTCCAAATGTCGCGAGCTGACTTCATAAAGGGCGTCTATTTGTTTCAGTATGCTCCTTTTTTTGGTGACTAATCACCGGAAGGGCATGTAGAAGCTTCAATTGACTGCAAATTTTGGGCATGTTAGTCTTGATCCTTCCAATGGTTGAGGTGAATCGCGGATGCCAGGAGTGCCTGTTGAGTCAGTTGGCATTTTCGATAATTGTCGAAAAACTGATTGCATCCTCTGATATCACACAGTTTCATCAAGACTTGAGGCATTCAATGTTGACTCACGTGCATGAATCACATATCAATACAAGAACTTAGACTTCAGACTTGTTCAACTTGCTGTGGAATGAAGTTCGGCGAAGAGTGAAGATGTCAACTTGTCGCAAGGACCTTCATCGACATTGGCGCATCGGACGTGATTTGGATGCATTTTGAGTTCTTTTTCAAGTTAACAAATGTGGCATTGTTTGGACTGAAAATGCAGAGATGACTTTTCTAACACTTCCTACCCATACTCGTGCAATGGACGTGGTCTTCAGCGTACATGAACAACATAAGAGACAAGGACAGATTTTGCTGTATACGGATGTATACGGTGTATCAGGTTGTTTACGTTTATCTCATGCATCTATATGCAATGGCAGCAAAAATAACCCCGGAGTGTAAGATCAGCTCTGGAATTGGTGAAGAGTGAATAGAGAACATAGCAGCAGGCTTAGGGTGCAAGACTCCCATGAATCTAGTGATGGAATCAACGGCATAGAAACTTCTGGATGTATCATTGGCAACACCTGGTCCAATAGTTTCATGGCGTTTTGATGCCAAGAGCAATGCATATGGCTAGGTCCGCCAGCACCAAAGCGGCTGTGGAGTACGATGAGCTTTTTGATGAGGCCATGATTTGCACGAAAAAAAGGCCGCCGGTTTGTCTGAAATGGGGTGCCTCATTTCATCACTGGTTAGTCATGATCATTATCCCTGCATTAAAATCGCAATTTGTGTATACCCCTGTTTACTGTGTACTCCATTTTCAGAAACACCCACTTAAGAACATGCGTGCACCCCAAGTTTCCGCAGCCCGCTGCACAGCAGGAGCTTGAAGATGAGCCAGAGAATTTTGGAGTATCTCAGCTGCAATTGGCAGTGGGAAGGGGTTGTGCTCCACGTTTCCAGGGTTCAGTTTTGATAGTTGACGGTTTTGGTGACATTTGAAGTGACGGTAGTTTCATCCGAAACATCATAGCAAGCTACCACCATGTCAAAGCCCATGGATTGAGTGCTTCAGTTGGGCGTAGTTCGCCGTAGGTTGGTACAGTTTGCCGCATAGTCTCATCCGGATTCTGGAAGATCTGGAAACACCATAGCAGCCATCCAATGAGTTCAACGACAGGTCGCTTCAATGTTTCCCAGGCAGGAAAGAACTGGAGCCTTGAGGACCCAGCCAGCCAAGACCTGAGACAAGTTGGGCCAAGTTGCTGCTACAATACATCGTGCAACGAAGCAAAGAAATATCAAAGAATCATGAAATAGGATGGAAATGGATGGACATGGATGGAATAGGGAGGATTCAATAGGAGGGACGGAAGCAATCTGATGCGACCGATCTCAAGCAGAAACCACAGAATGGTTAGATGGAAAGTCATAGAAGTCACATTGAACACCAGGAGGTTTGTGAACTCAGATAATTACTGGATATTACTGGATACACATATCAGACCCAGGGTGAACATACAATGTGTTATTCACTGCTGCTTTTCATTCCTTTTCAACGATTTTTGCTTTCAAAGAGTGCCGCACGCTTTGCTTCAGATTATTGAACTGGTGGTGAAATTTGGACTAGTGAGAGAACGGATTTTATTCGCCTCAAGTAGCGTAGCTTTTCAAAATCGGAATATGTAAGATGTAAGAATATGTTCGGTCCTTTCATTACTGAAAGATGGCATATAAATCCATTCTCATATTCATGGCATTTCATGGCGGGCTGCGCTACGTAGCTTAGGTTTCAGTCCAGTGGACACAGGCGGAAGAGGTCTTGGCTTTGGACGTGCTGACTTCAGGCCGGTGACAGCTGTGCTTTGCGGTGAAGGATTTTTGATGTGGTGAGACACCTGTGAAGCATTATTTTTTTAGCACGGTGGCCTCCAAAACGAAATAGTCTATAGTTGGACTATGTTGGACTCCATGACTTGTAGCGTACTTGACGCTGTCCTCGTCCTCATTGCCTCAACATGTCTTCAGGTCTCCGAAACTTGCCAATGGTCAGGCTGGCTGCGTGGTATGTCAGACTGTAGCACAGGCCACAAACATTCACATCGAAAGCCATGGGAAGCGAGTCCCGCGAGGCACAACCGCTGGCTTCCTCGAGCCAACCAGCAAGAGGTGGGAATGTGTCCAATTGATTAGTCCAATTGATTGGTCGTTTTGTCTCCACGGGACTCATTCCAGTGATTCGTTTTTTTTGTTTGCACTGCAACGGTCGATTATAGACGGCTTAGCAAAAAGCAGTGCGTCAGAGGGCATTTCCAACGTCTCAGCCAGACTGCTCCTTGATCCTCCTAGGTTCAAGAAAGTACGAGGATGACGAAGATGATGAGGATGATGAAGAGGTCTTCTTTTTTTGGCTCTGCAATTCACTAGCTGCTTTCAGCTCATGATATCATAACATTCTCAACAAATCCTGATAAGGTGACCTATCAGGTGCAGGAAAAGTTGATCAATGGATCAGATTTCCATAGATTTTCGCATGAGATGCACTGGTGCAGCTTTTACATTCAAGAGTAAGACGGTTCCTGGGCGTACTGATAGACTGCATGGCAGATGATTTCGTGCATTTGCAGAGCAGAGGTGAGGGCGGTGAGGGTGGCATTTTTCTTTCGGACATGTTTCAATTGCTTTCACTGATATTCACTGATTAACTATTGATATTGATAATATTTGATAATGAGATATAATGGGTGTATTTGTTCACTGGTTTTGCAAATCACCCACGACTTGCTTCAATGTTCTGCACATATTGCACTCTTTGACAAACGTCACAAAAAATATGCCTGAAAACGCGAGTAGCCCACGCGGCAAATAGCCTGCGATGGGAAAATATGACATACTCTGCCTCTTCCTTCCCAGTCTTGATTGGAGGTGATGAATGGGTGCCATTGGTGGACCTTCTGCCTGATAAGAAGGTGAGTGAGCCTCGAATGGCAGATTTTAAACGACTTGCACAGCTTCAAGATACCCTCCGGGTCCGGCCCTTTGTGATGAGAGTTTGTAGCAGATCAAACTTGCAGTCTGATTCTGTTTAAGTGTCTAGTGAGTCAAGCAAATGAAGAGCGCCGCTGTACCCAGGCGAGCTGCACCTGCATGCTGGAATTCACACGGCGTAGGTTTGACCGAATCGCCGAAGTTGCACCAGACTTGGCCACGGCTTGCAACGGGCTTCAATCTTCCAAGTTGCTGGACCTTGGACGCTTAGCAACAATTTGCATATCAAACATCAAACATCATCAAATCATCAAACGTGATTCCGGTTTTGCACATGTTCATTTCTGAGGACATTACGTGCAGGGCATGGAGAAATTGGTGGAGCGGATCGAAGAAAGAGAGAAATTGCGGGTTATTTTCATCGGACCATTGAAAGCTGGCAAAAGCTCCCTGATCAATCTGCTACTCTCGACTCAATTGAAGGACTTTGAGATGCTGCTACCAGTGGACAACAAGGCTGCAACCAACTGCATCTGGAAAGTGGAGTCCTGTATTGGTAGATCTGCATCTGTTTCCTTAGGGAATGTGGTGCAACGGCAATGGCCCCTAGATGACCTTGCTGCAGATGTGATCCGTGCAGATATTGCCACGTTCCTAGAGGACCATTTTGCCCGAGATGTGAATCCGCTTCAGAACGGGGAGATCTTGGTGCAACTTCCTCTGGATTTGCTGGATCCGTTTGGCTGTCACTATAGCCTGGTCGACACGCCTGGTTTTACTGAAAGTGCGGCCTATGAGGAACTTGTTCGGAAATTCCTTCAAGATCATTCGCACATCGCTTGTATGGTATGTCCATTGACAGAAGGGACAGCTGTTCCCCAGCAGACTCAGAACATGCTGAAGTTGAATAGCTACAGCAAGACTTTCTGGGCATCTCAGTACAGAACAGATCGTGGAAATGTGTTTATACCTTTCCTTCTCTTTTTGTTCTTACCTTCCTAGAAGCGAATCATTCGTTTGGTGATTTCGATCAATCTTCCAGTTTATATAAATGGATGGTACATTGGTGGACGATGGTAGAGTGTGACCCATCCCCTTCCGTTCGCCGAGTGCGGCTTCAGGTACTCACTCGCTTCGATCTGGCGATGACTTTTAAGCCAGCGCAGAAGCAACGAGGGATGTCGAAAAGGCAGGTCGCAGTGGCGTTGCAAAGCGCTTATCATGACATCCATGATCTTGTGATGAGTGAACCTCCAGCTGAAATTTCCATCACAGCATGGTGGGACTCGAATCCCCTATAAACAGCTATAAAAGACCATTCTATCGGTTTCGTGTTCTTTTTTCAAAAAAATGGGTTGGGCCTACCGTTTTGTAGCACAGAGAGCCTCCAAATTGAATGCAAACATACATGAACATGAAACATGAATACACATATGTATTCAAGAGGGGACAACACACCTGGATTCTATAGAATTATAATTATAAAGCTGAATGCTAATTTGTAGAGGGCCTCGCCCAAACCAGCTGACCATTCTTTAGAGAGATCATTTTGATCCTCAGGGAAATTTTCTTTACAAACTTGGATGCCAGATTTGATGTCTGCACGCACTGCTGCAAGAAATCTATGAACTCCAACAGGACTCCAACCCCCAACCCCAAGTGGGTCCCAATCTGTGGATGATAGGCAAGCCGCTGACAGCTTGGTGAGCAAATTCCGGCGCGATATCGGAAACTCAGGTGCCCCAAGCAGCAGTGAACATTAGAAAACCAGGGACCGTGCTGTTTTGGAGACAGCTGCTTTTCTTCTTGTTCCATGGTTTCACCGTTTCACCGTTTTAACCAGACATCGAGACACTTGTGACACTTGTTTTTTTTCCCTTGATGCCAAGATTGCTGCGCTTGTCCAACGCAGATTGCAGGTGGGCGTATCTTCCTGCAAGCTGGAGGCTTGCTGAGCGATCCGGAAGATGATGTCAACCAAGCTCTGATGAAGCACCTGCCATTGGAAGAGGCCAAAAGCTGGCTCAAGGACATCCAACATCACGTGAAGGCCGGGCCGATAAACATCCATGAATATGGAAGGAACCACATCTCCAAAATCTTCCAAACAAGTAAGGAGCTGGTAAGGAAGCGGTGATGAAGAAACACTTTCCAACAAGCAATAACAAACAGCTTCAAGAATTCCGGTATGGTTCATTTATAAGTTTATTATTGTAGCGTATTGTACGATTTTCAGGGACCTGAACCGGACCTATGGACCTGAATCGCTTGTGACGACCATTGACGATCCATCAGGATATCTTCATGGCGATGCAGCAGGAGCAAACAGTCCTCACCAGCCAATCAGTTCAGGCCATGCACCGAACTGCAGAGGTCATGGACGAATATCGCAAGCGCTTGAAGCTCTGCAGTGAACGACGTGATTGTAATGTATTGTAATAAGATGTTTTAAGCATGTTTTTAGCATGTTTTATTGATTCGGAGTGAAATGGGTCAATGGTAATGCTCTATTAATCTCTATTGCTTGTAAGATGTTGTAACATGTTAGCACGATAAGTTCAGAGTTGTGGCCTGGCTATCCCCAAACTCTTTGTCTACTTTTGTCCCAACTTCCCATACCTTCCCCACATTCCCAGATGTAGCCGTAGCCGTGGTATGTCGTTCAGGAACTCCTCCCAGGGCACGGTGGCTGCCAGTGACTTCTATGCGCAAGAGATGCAGACTGCAGCAGAAGATGCAGCAGCAGATCTTGAGCGCGAGATCCGAAAGGATATCGAAACGGTCTGTGGCGATATGCTGTTGGAGATGTGTACTGCTGCAGGCTGGATCTGCGAATGCAAATATTTTGCTATGACTTGATAGTTTGAACATAGAATAATGGTTGAGTTATATAGTGTATGTATGTATACATACGTATATATATATATATACACGTGATGATTTGATGCAACACTGACAGACTAGGAGTATGATGACTTAAAGAAAGGATGCACTGCTAGACATGTTAGACACGAGAATTGACACTGATCAAGGGACAGGATGATGATGTGTTTGGAAGCTGGATTTCACATTTTGAGATGCTGTTTCTTCAGTTGCAGCGGGAAGGGGTGGCGGAAGTCAGGGGCGAAGAAGTGTACAGCCATGGTGGTCATGCCATATGGGTTCGACACAAATACATGGAAGCCCTCCTTGCCGTGCTGGTGCCGAAGATTGAGCATGAACTGCAGACAAGGTCAGAAGCTTTGCAGGGCCAATTTTGACTCTGACAAAATGTGTCTTCCTTGCCTTCTGAGAATCAAACCTGACTGGATTTGTCACTAGTGAATTCTTCAAGACTTTTTGGTGGTTCTTTTTCACTCAGGAATTTTGATTGTTTGGTTGGAGAATGTACTGTAGTTAGATTTCTATCCAGAAGGCCTCAAGGGGCAAAGTGAAATCTGATTGGCAGCGAAGGTTGGACGCTGCCAATATGCGTGCGCAAGAGAAGACTCTGAGAGTGGCTCTGCGTTTGTTGCGAGAAGCTGGTCTGGACGACTGGAGACCAGAGAGCGCATCTCACAACGACACTTCCTCTGAATATCTCTGCATATCTCTGCATCACAGACTTGTTCGGGAAATCCGATTGGGGGTGGGTAAAGCTGCACATGGCTTTATGATCTTAGTAATTCTTAGTACATATCCTTGGTCTCTGGATTACATGACCTTGGGCAATCTTTATTCCAATCCCCCATCCGCCAAGGAAGTGGTTGCACCGAACACGGGCCATCTTCGCAGCAAATATCCCGTGGAATCCGTGACGATGCTCAGTGTCACAGCTTTATCGGTGGGCCGACTGGCAGCAACCGAAGCAGGTGTGGCAGCTTTAAGCACCCTGGGTGTCACGGCCAGCACGTTGCAACTGGCTGGTGTGGTGGGAATGGCCATTGGAGGCATTGCACTCCTGGGTCTTGGGACAAAATATGCCTTGGAAGCACATCCCTTCTGGACTCGAACTTCTGCCCATGCAGAAATGGCGGAGGATATCCGAAAGGCCAACCATTGGAATGTTGTGTGCCAAATGGCATTTACTCGTGGCAAAACGCAACTCTTATCCCAAGCGGCCAGGTTGCGTTACAAGTTCAGCGAACTACTGCTGACGAACAGCACATCCACAGATGTGCTGCACTCACTATTTCCTGATTTCTCTCTTTTGGAGCAGGTGAAAGCTAAGCTCTCTTCTTGCTGCCTAGATATCGAGCAATTCATGGAAGCTGAGCAAACAGCCGAGTCTGCCCTTCGGGACCTGTCGACTTGCAGCCGGAAGATGTTTGAGAAAGCCTGGATGTCGATTGTGGACGTGACGACTCGGTATGTGGAAGACAATTCTAGAACTGATGTCGTAACGTGGAACAAGATTGGAACAATCCATACCGTTTTGACCTGCTTTGATATCTTTTAGATGTTTTAAGTTTTCCTTTGGGTGCATAATCATGATTTGCCTCTTAGCCCCTTCCTTGTGTCACTTCAGAAGTTGGAAACCTTTGAACTCCTTGAAGGCAATGGAGGTGGATGGAGGTGGGTTGACCACCAAGATGCCCCAGCCGTCCCGGCCGAGGTGGATGGTCGTGTTTTGGCCAGCTTGCTTGCCCTTCGCACAGAGGCCTTGGTGAAGAACCATATGCTCCGAGAAGCAAAGCACACCTTGGGCATTTTCAGACACTTTCCTGCACAGAAGTTTTTTATTGACAGCTTTTGAAGCTCCGGCGCTGCCCGCTTTTTGCCCACCGAAGGATGGTTCTTGCTATTTCTTGCTTTGATTTATGATTTATCAATGAGCCTAGAGTGCTGAAGATCTTGAGTTCCACTGGTTCAATGATTTGATTTCAACATCAAACGCAGGAAAGCTGTTCCCTGATCTCACCCTGCCCCTGGTCTACGATGTAGCAGCAGATGTTTTGCTTGGACTGCTGGAAGGCAACGAGGACACAGAGCAGATGATCACGCGGGTGTGCTGACCTGAGGCAAAACGAACTCAAACACCATCTATTCAGTCTATATGGAGGTTTCCATAGGTTTCCTAAAATGGGGGAACCCCCAAATCATCCATTTTAGTCTTTTCCGTTATAAACCATCCATTTTGGGGTATCTCCATTTTAGGAAACTCCTATTTGTTTCTATATGTGTCTACACTGTCACCGATATTTGCGCGGCATTCCCTTGCTGTCACCTAGCAGGTCCTTGCATCATTCCGCGGCCCCAGCGGCCCCGGCGCACCAAGGCGCTTTTGCAATGAAGAGCTGAAACAGCAGTGTGGGAATCGAGAAATTCCCTTGGTGGTTGAGATTTGGTACTTGTGTGTGGTGTCATCCTTTTTGCCACGAGATCGGGATGACATTGGATCCAAGCAGATGCTGATGGATGCAATTGATCACTTCGTCACATTGCAGGTGCAGCATGAGCCCAAATACGACGATGCAATCCAGAACTCCACAATTCCGAGAGACGTCTTGGATGACCCAAATGCACAGCAAGCGGCGATTGACAAAACCTTTGCTGATCTTTGCAAGAAGTTTGTGGGAAGCGTCTTGAACTCCGTGCGGGAGTTGTTCGAAGCATTGCCAGTGCAAGACCTGGATCTGCAGACGGTGGGGCGGCCTCTTCTGAAGCGCCTGCTCGATACCTTGCACGCCCATTTGTGCCAGGAGAATCGGATTCAGCACTTGGTTCATTTTCTTTATATTATACGGATTGTACGGGCACATATAGTCATATAGGCAATGATTGGCAACCTCGCAAGGCAAGTACCATAAGCACTTGGTAGTCCTCCTTTTCCGCAAAAGCTTTCTCTGAATCAGCCAATCTATGTCAGCAGTGCTGTGTTTCCCTACTTTTCCCGTGTACATTGGAATGGCACTGTCGGACGTGGTTCGGAGGAAATCTTTGTCGATTTTCGCTTTCAACTTGCAGAGGCCCATGCAGATGCATACATTATATAAATTATAGGCATCCTGAAAGTGTGGGCAGGCTGACCAAGGGCAAAGCAACTGTGCTATAATTTTTGTTGTGTCAGAAGTTATGGAGGATATAGTATGTCCATGTATGAGAATCGGCAGGTACACTTACACTTTACACATGTGACACGTGCATTTCAAGCTGCTTGTTCCATCACTTTACAAGTAACTAGCCATGTCCGAAGTTGCAATTTGCAGGGCAGTTGGATGGACAGTGACCTGGATGATTGGAAGCCATTCATCCAGGAAGTGAGCAGCACACCTCCTGAGTTGGAATGATGTAGTCCAAAGCCTTTGTGACGAGTAAATTCGAAGTGGATGGAACGAGCACAGCGGCCCCCTGACTTCCAAAGACGCATTGATGCTGAGAAGTGTAAAGGGAGGCTTTTTACATCGCTTCACTGACTGGATTGGAAGGCAAAATCAAAGGATGGCCTTCTCTGCAGCAAGCCAACCAGGGACAGGTAAGGACATTCATTTACGGTTGCACAGCATGTGGAAGACTTACGAAAACACAGTTTGAAGATGTTTGAAGTTGAAAGTTTCAAGCAACATTTTCTGGGATGCATTTAGGAGCAACCTCCACAACAAAGATCTACGTCTTGTGAAGGTTTGTATAGCTTCCAGTGTTCCAAGAGCCGAAGCGCTCAGGTGGCTGGACCTCCGATTATGCTGCCAGCCTCTCCATCCTTTTTGCCACCTCAGATGGGTTTCGGAGGCTCACCTGAAGCAATGCCCAGCATTCATGGCATGAGAAAGACTGTCCACCAAGGGCTGCAGTGCGACGACATGATGGGACATGTTTTCCTTGTGAATTGTGACTATGTAGATAGCTCAGCGTTCTATGTACTGTATGTATGTGTATGTATAATATATATATATAATTATATAAATGAGATATATCTGAGGTATAATATATCGAATTATATATAATCACACATATATATATATGTATATGTATATATATATATATATATGTATGTATGATGTATATATATATATTACATATATATATATGATATATATATATATTATATATGATATATATATGATGTATATATATATATCATATATACATCTATATTGTATATATATATAAATATTATATGTATATTTATATGATATATATACATATTATACATATGATATATATATATGATATGTATATATATATGATATACATATGATATATATATATGATATATATATATATATGATATATATATATATGATAAAGATATGTGATGTATTTAATATATATATATATACATATATGATATAGATGTGTGATATATAAACAATATGTATATATATAGATATGACACATATATATATATATATGTGATATATATATATATATTTGCTGTATATATATATATTTGATATATATATATATCTATCTATTCGATACATTATATATATATATTTGATATATATATATATATTCGATATATATATATGATATATATATATATATTTGATATACATATATATATATATGATATATATATATGATTATACAATATATGATATATGAATATATATATATATACTCACATATATGTATATTTGATACCTATGAATATATATATATGATATAGTTAGCGGACACCTTGTTCATCGGGAGTGTGCCATTCTGCCCCCCACATTCATTTTCACAAATGCATTTGCTGATAGAAAATTCACAAAAATAATCATTTTACCCAAAATTCAATTTGGGGGATTTCATCAAAGATAAAAAGAATGGCACATTCCCAATGAACAAGGTTGTCCTTATTCATTTTTAACAAACATTGATAAAATAATTAAGTAAATATTTTATCAAAGCATCATCATTTTTCATCGGTAGTATCTGGTGGAATTAAACCACGTCTTATCAAACTTTGTCTTCGTAGTTCTGGATTGTGCCAAAACATTGTTTTCTTGATTTCCCAAATTTTGTCTTGGCCTTCTTGATAATATTTCTGCTTGAACTCTGGTGTAGGTGCTTCTTCAACTAATCTCTTGTAATCACTTTCTAGTTGTTTAATGAGGCCTTCTTTGTGTTCTTGTTTTTCAAAATGATCATCCCAGAGTGTTGGGTCTCTTCTTTTGTCACAAACAATGCAATAAATATAATCTTTGGTTGTAACATTTTTGTAGTAAACACGTTTGTGTTCCAAGCATTGTTTACACGATTTCCTTCCTTCATCAAACTCATCAATACCTTTCTCTTTTTTGCATCTAATGCAACTCTTTTTCTCCATCCTGCTGATATATTAAGGTAATATGTCTTTAAATGCTTTCTGTCAAAGGATTAAATCAAATCAATTTGTAAGTGTTTTCAAAATCATCCTTGATGATCCTGTAATATTGAAGCGTAGTCGGTTTTGGCATAGATATTTTTCCAGAAGTAAGCATATCAAAATATTGTTGCCTTTTTGATTCGTATGTCCCAGCAGGTCTACCTACTGGTTTTTTCTCAACTGGTTCGCTCTTACCACTACCCAGTTTCTCATCAATATTTTTCATCATTTCCAGAATTAGTTTAATATTGTTGTTGCAACGATTAAGTTTCTTGACTAGATCATTCATTTTATCCACACCGTCATCTGGATCACTCATAAATATATATTAATTTAGATATTTATTTATCAGTTTAATCCATATCACTAAATTCTGGTTGAATCAGATATTTGTCATTGATTGGGGTTTGTTTCTTACTTCTGGGAGTGTTCATAACATCACTTATCATTCTGTTAGTGCTTTCGTTTTTTTTTTTTAATCTTCTGGTGTTATTTGGCGGTTGAAAGAAAAACTGATGCTATGGTCTTGACTGTCCAACTTAATATCACCGTTATCATCTCTACTAACATTCATTGTTTTATCGTTTTTGCTGATTTTGAAACTGCACGGGTGACATTTACATTTGATACCTTTAGGGGTTATTTCAATTTCATTTCTTATCTGTAGTCTGGTAAAACAATTAGGACATTCAAAGGTGATAAATTTACTTGATACTTTTTGATCCTCATCCAGTTTAATTGTAGTGGGTTCGTCATCAGATAGTTCAAAATCCTCGGGGATTGGTTTTCTTTCAATACTTTTTTTCCTCTTGGGTGGCATCTATCTTTACCTTGAAATAGTTTATCATCATGTTTGCAAGTTCCAATGTGAACTGACAGCATTTCTTAATTTTATTATCTTGAATTACTGGAAATTTATCATTGTTAGAGATTCTGTCCTCTATCACATCAATGGTGTTAATATATAAGTCATATTCAGATACCGTCATTGAAAATAATTAGATTTTATTATGTAAAATCTAATTGACCATAGTTAGATTTTATTATGTAAAATCTAACTGACAATAATTAGATTTTACTATGTAAAATCTAATTATCTGTTTTTAGTTGTTTTTCGTGCAATTTTTTTCAGATGACGGGGTATGCGCTGGGTAGAGACTGTAAATGCTGTTGATAGGGAACTGGTATACAACAACATGGCTGAAGCATTTTTTAGATTTAAAAAATCATTGTTTAATCCCAATCATAGATCTGACTACAGTTCAGTGGATACAGAAGTGTTGACTAAATTCAGGACTGTTGTTCCCCTTGGTGAGTTGTTCAAAGGTCTTGATAAAATGGATGCAACAAAACAGGAGATTGATATCTGCAAAGCTTTTACTAAAGCCTTTTCTTCCATCTCTCATATCCCAGTCTTTGATCAGTTTGACAACTGGAAGGTGTTCAATCCAAAATGTAAGATTCGTGATCTTAACTTGTATGTTGTCAATGGCAAGTTGGACACACCCAATATGTTTTTTAACAAACAGACTACTCTGATCTACGGAATGTTTTTGAAAGAGTTCCTGCCATTGATTGAGAATGGTAAGTTAAAAATAACTCACTACAAACAACCCCATTTTATCCATAAAGTAGATTACAAATCCATCATTGATGAGTTGTGGGGGCAACTAATCAGTGATGATTCTGATGAGGACAAGTCCATCAAAAAGTTAATAGCCAATGTTAGTTTTGGTTTGCTGGAAAAGGGCACCAACAGAAGCCAACGGCCATTTGTTTTTGATGATGTCAATGAAGCTGTTAGCCTTCAAGCTGATGTGGGGGGAAAGCTTAATATGACCAGTAGGCAAACTGCTAAATGGGTAGAGGATTATGATGAGAACGGTGTTTGGTGTAGAGATAGGGAAGTTGTTTCCAATGATGAGTCTCTTTACTATGTTCTGAATGTATCTGATACTAGTGAGTTACGCAATGGCTTTAGATATGTGAAGGAATTGCTTTTACAACATAACAATTACAAAATGCAATGCGATTATCAAAAGCTAATAGATAATGATATTAAAGTTTTAAGTTTTAAGTGTAAAATCTGATGCTTTTGTTATCCAATGCGAGGGCTTCAATAAATGGTTCGTATCAGAAAAACAAAGGAGGTGGGTGGGACTTTGATGATGGGATCGGTGGGAGGATGGCGATCACGCTCAAATCCATCATACTGGAACCCAATTGTTTGAAAAAAAGCTTTGTGATTATGTTGAGATCCCCATTATCAAAAGTTTTTGAGAATAAATGTTGTGGATGAGTATGATGAAAATGAATTGGTTGATCTTGTTGAGAAACATGACGGGTGCTTATGATCAAAGCTAAATTCGCTGGGGCTGGGAAGTCCACCATCTGTAAAAATATGGAGAGGCTAAAGGGGTATAAAGTTCTGTTCGTGATGCCCACCAATAATTTGGGTTTGGAATGCGATGTTGAATCAATTACTTAGCATGTTCGTTCGGTACGTTTGGGCGTTCAGAACGCGCGTTTTAAAAACTCGCGTTCCAGAACGTGCGTTCTGAGTGAATCCTTTTTTCCAATGATATAAAGTCAATTCATTTCCTGGGTTTGAACAGAGAAACCTTTTTCCCCCACTAAAAAAAAGGATGTGGAGCTCTGGTGGGCTCAAAGTGGTGTATGAAGCCACCAGAAAGTTGATCTTCCCAACTCCGGATCCTTTTTGGGTGAGGCAAAAAAGGTTCTGGCCTCACCAGGCTTGTGGGGCAAGTTAGGTTTCCTTCCCGGATCCTTTTTTCTCTGAAAGAAAACGGTCCTGACCCCTCACAAATTTTATCGTAGTGCTATTAACAGGGGTCTAAGAAGACTTTGAACATTTTCTCAAAAATACTATGTGACACAGCGGATCCTTTTTCCAGGGAGCAAAAAAAGGATTCGGACGCTTCTGGGATCCATAAAGCCACTAAAAACACCCCTGCGTTCGGAACACGCGTTCCGGAACGTACGTTTTGCGTTCTGCGTTGTGAACGTGCTAAGATCAATTACCATAAATAAATTCTTCAGTATAGCTATTGGGGATGAACAATTGGGTAAGTTTGATTATTCTGAGTTTGATGTCATTGTCTTTGATGAGATCTGTTTCAATAATAGCTATGTTTTGGCAAAAATTAAGGACTTCGTTGATCAGAACTGGAAGGACAAATTTATTTTGGCTACTGGTGATGCAAAGCAGTTGGCGCCCATCAAAGCTCTTACCAACACCAAAAAACACGAGGTGTATATGAATGAATGTACTGATACCATCTTCCCCCAACATATATACCTTGAAGAATGTAAAAGGCTTGGTGAAAAGGATCGGGATAAACTAAAAAGTGTCTTTTATGACATCTTTGAATCTAAACTTGATCTGGTTGAAGTAATTAACAAGTATTTTGAA